TTGTATATTCGATATGGTTTGACAAATTATATATGATGCTCCTGAAGATTTCATTTTGCTAAATCAGAGTCGCAGATCTGTATGATGTTGATCATAGGAAAATTTATATTCATTTTGTTTTTTATAATGTGCTTTTTTTATTCTGAACAGATTTTGAATGAATATAGTTTTCAGAAAATGACAAAATATGATTAAAAATGTCGCTAGATCACGAAAATATGTCGCTGAATTTTCAGAAATTTCGACTGTGGCGGGCTTTCAGCTCGCTTTCGCGCGTTGTAGCGATTTTGGGCGTATTTTTTTCAGCAACTTATGAGTTTTCTTTTTTTTGTTCTTTCAGTTTTAATGTTCTAGTTGATTAAATAAGTAATAAGAGTAATAATAGTGGGAGGAGTTCCACTATGGTACCTACCTGTAGAGTCCCGGAAATAAACCATGTCAAAATTTATGGATGAGGAAGAAAATTAGTTGAAAGCGCTTCAAAACATGTCTTCTGCATTTCAAACATTTTTAGAGCGTCACTTATGCTCATCAGGCTTTTTCAGATAATGGCTATATTCTGAATTCAACTGACAGTACTGAATCTGCTGATTTTTCATCCCGAAATCAAAAAATTTACTGAAAGTAGATACTAGTGATCAGACATACTATTCATTCCAAATATTTAACATTCTGCTAAAAGTGCTGACTATTGAAAGGGTGTGGCTTCAGTAAACTGTCGTCATTATTATAGAGGGGGAAGAAATGTCAAATTTATTTCCGTTGTTTTATCAATAATAGATTGAAAATATAATTTTTAATATCAGAAAATGCCTGTTATTAAATTAATTGACGCTGAGAATAATATCTAGTTCAGATGAACGAGAAATTATACATAAAGTGACAACCTGACAACTGACAAAGCTCACCAGCTGATCAACTGCTGCTGATTACTGATGAAAACCATGAATACATGGTCCGAATCACAGCACTCTGTATTTTTGATTTCATATTTCGGAACACATATTTTCAACGGAGTCAGTGGATTTACTGACAGTAGGTACTGACTAGTTGAATTCGGAATATAGCCCATGATAATAACACAGGAAATCACTAGAAAGAATAATGAGATATCTTGTCTTAAGCATTTCAATCTATGCAACCAGAAATACTCAAGTATACACATGCACCGGGCCGGATTACCTCTATCAGGGCCCCTACCTATATTTTGCCCTCATACATTTTCTTACTATTTGAAGTAGGTACATTTTTACAAAAGTCGAGTCGATCAGATCGACTATCCTTTGGTATATCCTGTTACTACTATTATCTACGAATTATTTATTTCATCAACTAACAGCATAAGAAAAAGGAATAATATTGAGAAAGCATACAAATTTTCCAAAAAAAAAAAAACGTTCCATAGAACTTTTTTTTTCTCTTGGTGCGTGCACGGGGCCCCTAGTCGAATCAATGCCCCTAGGCAGTTGCCTACTCAGTCTTATAGATAATCCGGCCTTGCACAATCGATAGTGTATGACCTGGTATATTCCTAAGACTTTATACCTATTCGGAGTGGAACGTCTTGAGTAGGTAATCCTCTCGGTATGTGCAGGCGGGTATATCAGAACCATGTGCAATAAACCATACAGGGTGAACAAGGCGAACGAAAATGCGGCATTATGTTGTTAGAGGGCGATAACAAATAATTTCATTTTCAGATTTTTTCAATATCTCAAAATCCTTCAATCAATCCTTACTATCGTGAATGTGAAAACCGATATAACTTTTTTTTGAGTATACCATGCACTGACACATTTTAATATTTCAATGAATGACTAAATGAATTATCTAATCATTGAAAAGGAATATTATCTCACTTTTTCCTGGTCACAGTTTCTTTTTGAATTTTCATGAATTTTGGGATATTTAGTTCATCCTATAATATATGGGTACCTACTTGTCATATTTTCAACTGTGAAAATTAATAAATGTGATTTTTAATGCCTTTGAATTTCACACCATTGTTGTCATGCTATTTTTCAGTTTTATATACAGGGTTCGATCACATGGAATATAAGTAGGTAAGGTATAGTTGGATATTGATACAGTACACCAATGGAGTAAAATTTCAGCTACTATATGTTTCAATAATAAGAATGGAGATTTGTTGAAATATTATCATATCATTCGATATTTTGGTAAATTTTTTGAAATAAAACTATGAAAATAGGATAATCATAAATATTGTATTACAAAAATAATAACACTATAGCTATATGTATACAGTATACACTGAGATACAATTAATTATGGGGATAATCAATGATTTTGGTGATTGCACAACCTTAACAGAGCTTTGCGTTGCTTTTAAAGTATGAAGCTTTTCAATAACAAAACTGAATCAGAATTTTTGAGTGAGTGTTAAATAAAAATAAGTTCTTGGAAAACTGAGTTTTTTGTAAAATTAATGTTGATCTCTGTAGAAGATTCATTTTCTATTGTACGTTCAGTTGTATTTTTGTCAGCTGTAGTTCTAATACTTTTTTTTTAATATAATTGAGAATATTTTCTCAAACCTATTGGATCAACCAATATAATAATCGATTCTTATTATCAATAAGTATACCTATATACTTATAATTACATACAATAAATATCTGATGGGAAGAAGGAACATAGTGACTTGAATTAAATCAGTACCAATACCAATATTTGTGAAGGCATTACTTGACACTGCTCATCAGGTTTATAATACAAACAGCACTCAAACTTGTCATAATGAGTTATTCATTGAAACCTATGAAAATAGAAATAATTCTGCAAGAAGAAACCTGATTGAAGAAATTCAATCCATTAATTATAATAAATAAAATTAAAAAAAAAAACTATTCCTATTTGAAAAGGTTGAACAGTACTATATACAGGGTGTCCGGTAAAAGGAGGACAATCCATTAACCATATATTCCTTGAACAAAAACAATATGAGTTTCTAAATACCATTTTTCATTTAAGCCCTTCATATTCGATATACAGGGTGTCAAAGTTGGACATTAAAAACTTTTTTTTTCCTAATTACTCGCGTATTTAATGAGATAATAATCTCAAAATTGGTACATCACTTCAGCAATAAGAGTTACATCGTGTGAAGAAAACAAAACAGAAAATAACTGTCAAATATTCAAAATACTGGGGGTCAAGTACACACTTACCCCCATATTTTTTTTGTACGTGCGCTAATGACTTCCTATCTATTTTTCTTCAAGTGTTCAATCATTTTTGAGTATTTTTTGTCTCGATGTGAATATTATGAGATTACCGTAAGCCGCATAAGCATCAAACAATAATTAGTACTTTTCGAATTATCTTAAAAACAAATAATTTTATCGAAATTTTACAAGACGCAAAAAATACTCAAAAATGATTGAACACTTGAAGAAAAATAGAAAGGAAGTCATTAGCGCACGTACAAAAAAAATATGGGGGTAAGTGTGTACTTGACCCCCAGTATTTTGAATATTTGACAGTTATTTCCTGTTTTGTTTTCTTCACACGATGTAACTCTTTGTGCTGAAGTGATGAACCAATTTTGAGATTAATATCTTATTAAATACGCGAGTAATTAGAAAAAAACTGTTTTAATTTCCAACTTTGACACGCCGTATATCGAATATGAAGGGCTAAAATGTAAAATGGTATTTAGAAACTCATAATGTTTTTGTTCAAGGAATATATATGGTTAATGGATTGACCTCCTTTTAGCGGACACCCTGTATAATATGATGATTCTTCTCAACTAAATACACTCTCAGAAATATAGGGATGTTCATTTCTTAGAAACAAAAACAATTTTTATGTAAATTGTTGAACTATAACAGTTGAGGACGTTTTTTACTTCAAATTGAACCAACTGTGTGATTCAGTTTTTGATTGCTTCATAGTATCCGTGTATTTCTTGGACAAATTACATTTTCTGCAGCAGCAAAAATTGAAGAAATTTATCAAGAGTTTTTGAACAACATTTTGAAGACAACACTCCATCTGGTCTAGTAGTATATGAAGTGAGTTTCATTACATTTTTCTGCTCCATCTGATGGTAGTAGACCGGGAAATTGGGATTGATGAGCATCCAGCTCAATATAGAGAATTTTGAGAAGTAGGTATAGCAACCTTTATACCTACTAAATCAATAAAATCTTAGTGAACAAATTTCAAAATTGTTAGAAAATCAGATAACTGATATAGAACTTATTTTTTCAAGTGAAAATTTCTGCAGGATGCTAGGATTACAAGAAATGTAATTCTTACAGTTTGTAAAATATTTTTTGTTTTCTTCCTTCAATAAGAAGTTACACCAAGGACAACAATTTTACTTTTTTTACACCTACAAAATGGTTACTTTGGGAATTGAAATAAATTGATTTGATTTCCTAGCAGACTCAAATTAATTGACTGATAATTGACAAATCAACACTTAATAGTGAGTACTGACTATGATCAGTCATGATCTAAAATAGGGGTTAAAAAAGAATAAGGTCAATTAATCATATATATGATGTTGATAAAGGTACTTACTTAAAATCTCAGATTTTATATAATATTACCTAGAATTTTACTGATTTGGAAAAGTTGATGAAAAAAGTTAATTATGATCATGCTCTGATATTTCAGATTCTGCTGCTGACAGTTGAATACATCCTAATCAACAAAAATGACTCTCAATTCATAGACCTTCAAACTTTATGCCTTATTTTAATTTATGTTGCTCCATGGATGTTTTGAATAGAAAAAATAGAACAGGAATATTTCAAATGGTGTATTTTATAGCTGACTATTATTTTTTTGAATTACACTCAGATTATATGGGTCAACTTATTGCAATTTTTATAGATATCATAATTTCCCAAGCTTTGAATCAAAAATTCACACCATCATGTCTTCTCAATATCAAAGCAGAGTTACCTAGTCATAGCTTAACAAATCTTGAATACTATGTAAACAAAAGAGAAATCAACAAAAATTCAAGTACCCTTTACTTTAAGTTCATCCTTCACTTTCCATTTCAACAACTCCATGCAGGTAAGTGCATCCTCTGCACTGTCATGTCCACTGACGTCATTCTGGATGATCTTCCTTAAGTACTCACTTGCCAAAGCTTTCAGAGCTCTCTTATGAGGCAGCCCCATCTTGTGAGGAAACAAAACGGAAGTGTCTATAACATTTTCATGTACGATTTTCAACGCCTTCATGTCCGACTCCAAACTATGACCGACGAGAATAGTCTTGGAATTACACAAATGCAGAATATTCGCTTGAACCTGCAAAATACTTGTGCTGGTTTTGTCCATTTGTTCTTTGGTAATACCTGAAAACCTTGTGTTGTAGTCTATTATGGGGTTGAAAGGCTTCACTAGAGATTCATATACTGTTTTGCACTCTGTGTCTACTACTGTCACACGTGTGAGTTCTAACCCTTTTGTGGTGTAGCACATCTCACAATCCAAGGCATAAATTGCACAGTTACGAGGGTCACTGTCATATTCCGGGTTCATGGTGGTCTGGAAACCTTCTAGTTCACCAGTAACAGCAGTTTCAGAAACATGCCAGTCACTAGTGGCACATCCACTCTCGTCACTGCTGCGGCAGCAAAGATAGGTTTGCTCCCCTCTTATAGTCCTCTTCTTCAGTGGGTGATAGCAGCATTCTTCTTCAAATAATGGCCATCCATCATCATCAACTTGGTAGAGTTTATGACACCGACAGCACATGCGCTGATTGTCGTCCAAATTCAGGGAGATCTGTCTCTTGAAATTTCTTATGATTGCTCTGCCATGGTGCTCTTCACATTCCCTAGGGTATCCATGGATATCCAGCTCTTCATCTGTCAGCACCCATTTTTTAATCCGATCATAAAACTTGCGGCCCTTGTATTCAGAAGATGAGTTCCTATCTGTGTCTTCGCCGATACCAATCAGCCCTAGACCACTCTTGTCTCTTTCAAGGACTTCTTTTCTCAGACGATTCATCGCCAACATAGCTGAATTGCGATATGTTACCAGTACTTTGCACTTCTCATAGCAGGAATATTCTTCACTTAGAGCCCTTGAGAATGCTTCTGCCTTGGATATATACAGTTTAACACATTCATCTGCTATCAAAGTTAGGAATCTGGTGCGTACATTTACTGGCAACTTAGATTTATCAGCATCTATTACATCAGGAATATCAGTCAAGGAAACATCTGGAACATGGGCAACTCTGCCACTTTTTTGAGTGTGTGCTATGGTTTTCAAAGGTACTGCTGGCTTTATCTTGGATATGCGTTCCTTGGATTTGGCCATCAACATGACATTCTGAGCAGGAGCTATTTTCTTCACTACCTTTTGTTGTGGATTTTTTGAAACACCATGTAAAATATCATCTACCAGACTTGTAGACTGGATTGGTTTTTGCTCCTTTTCCATCTCTCTTCTAATTTTGCGCTCCCTTGCAGCTTCTAAAAGACTAGGAGCAGGTCTTTTTGTCATCACATTTTGCTGCATTTCCAAGTGCATTTCATTCATAAGCAATTCTTGTTCTCTGTTAGCTTGAGCTAGCTTGGCCAGCTTATAACGGTTTGCTAAGGACTGTCCAGGGGTGCTTACAATTTTTGGTTTATTTTCTGGTATAGCTTCCTGGTACAATGAATACTTCATGGAATTAGGGTGAGCTATGCGTTTTTTGCCTACATTTTCAGGAATATAGATATCACTTGATGAAGATACTACATCTTCTGATTTTTCAGGTGATCTTTCTATTCTATTTTGCTGTGGTACTTTGTACTCATTGAATATTCGATAACATTCCATCATGGTTTCATCTTCATCTTCTTCAAGATCTGTATCAACTTCCATTTTGTCCATGTTGTCTAAATTCATGAATTCATTGTCTTCATGGTAATCATTATCAGACATTTCATTTTCACTAACAAGGTGTTCTTTGAGTGAGATAGATTTTGACTTCTTCATTTTATCTTTATGCTTACTCCTGTTACCCTCTTTCTTACACTTCTCTGAACTTTGAGAATTGCTTTTTGATTTTGTGTGCTCTTTTTCCCTATTTTTGTGTTTCTCTTTGGTTTTACAAATGGTTTTTTCATCTTTACTTGATCTTCTTTCTTTACTTTGATTCTTTTCTTTTTTTTCAACTTGTTTATTTTTTTTATCACTGCTTTTACTTTCATGTCTATCTGTCTTTTCTTTGCTCTTGTGCTTTTCCTTACTTATTTCTTTGCTTTTGTGCTTTTCCTTAATCATTTCTTTGTTTTTTTGCTGTTCTCCACTCATTTCTTTGTTTTTTTGCTTTTCCTTATTTATTTCCTCACTTTTTAACTTTTGTTTACTTTCATTGGTACTTTCTTTTGATTTCATTTTCTCTTCACTCATTATTTTGCTTTCTGTTTTGCTCTTTTCTGCTTTTTCCTCACTTCCCTTTTTTCTTTCACCACTCTTGCTGTGACTGCTGTCCTTAGTTTTTTCTTTAGAATCACCATCACCTTTATGCTTCTCAATAGTTTCTTTTTCTTCATTTTCTTGCTTTCCTTTTTTCTTTTCTTTAGATTTCTCCTTTTCTTTAGATTTTTCTTTTTCTTTACTTCTACTGGGACTTCTCTCCTTAATTTTAGGTTTACTAGAATGAGTCCTTTCTTTCTCAGATTTATTTGAAGTACCATCTTTTTTTTCTTTAATATCTTTACTACTAACTTTCTGCAACTTTTCACTAGTTTTATGCACTATTTCCTTAGATTCTTCATTCTGATTCTTGTCCCCCTTTGTCAGGCTATTAGTTTTTGTCTGAACTTCACAACTTTTTGGCCTAGATTCATCATTAGTCTTGTTGGTAGCTTTTTCTTTATCTCTACTTGATTTTTCAGCAGGTTTTGCTTTAACTGGATTATTGATCAGGTGAGAAGTTGAAGGAAGATTCTCTTCAAGCTGATTATTTGAGGACAACTCTGTTTTATTACTGTCTACACTACTAACTTTAACAACAGTTTTTGAGGGATCATAAGCATCATTGTCAATAATTGTTTTGGGTTCACTAGAAGTATTTATGATATCATCAATCATATCAAACTCTGTAGACAACCCCTCGAAATCTATGTCAGTAGCAGGTTGAAGGGATTTTGTTGGATCATATTCAACATTTGCAATGTTTTGCTTTATTTCTTTGATCACATCGATGTGCTCTCCATTTTCATCAGATACAGATATTCTACTTTTATTAGCTGACGACAATATGCTCAAGGGTGTTGGTTTGTAGGTGGGTTTTTCAAACTTTGGCAGAGGTCTTGCCTTTCTTTCTGGTCTGAATGCGAGGTCGGGAACATAACTGATAGGAATATGACTCTTGCTGCTGTGAATATTTGCCAATTCACTCTTCGGGGTTGGTTTATAAGTAGGAATAACTGGAGTTTCCTTTTCTGCCTGTGTGACGATTTCTTCTAACAGTTCTACCTGCTTCTTTCTATGCCTGAAGTGGCAGTAAGGCCTACCACATGAACTGTTGAGATAGGGACACTCGATGTCTTGGAAATAGCCCTTTGTGGGCAACATCTTTTGTGTTGATTTATGGAATAATTATTTTGAAAAACAAACCATAACAATTAACAACCATAACCTACATGTTTGAAGTTTCTTTTGTTTTCGATCAACGGTGACATTCTGACATTGACATAAGATCACGTGAACATGGCCGTGTCTAAGTTTCCGCTAGTCGTAGTCGTAACTAACGAAATGCCACAAATAACAAATTACTCTTCAGGAAATTCCTTTCGTAGATAATAAATTCGTTGGAAAGAGATGATAAAACACAAAATAATTTGACTTATTTAAATTATCATTTGACCCTACATAATATTCAACCTCAGGAAGATAATTCTTATCTGTGGGCTGTTTTGTAGTTGCGTAAGATAGAAGCGAAATTCCAGGATGTGACGGGGTCAATGAATTTTGGACAGCACAGCTAGGGTGATGGTCTGATGGTGTTTACATTGAGTTCATTATAATTTCCATAATAAAAGGCTTTCACGCTGGGTTGATAGTGACGTCAATATGCCAACACATACAGTGTTGCCAGTTGGAAGGAAATGACTGAATGACCAACCGCCCGAATATGGATATGTCTAGTGCTACGATCGTCGGACGTTATAATGTTTTTTTGAACCAACTCGAAAGCCGTCCATTTATGTTTCAAAATCAACACTCGAAGTTGATAAATGAACTTCAATATTTGTATTTAATGAACCATGCACCTAAACAATATTCTGAATATGAAATTTAATGATAATGAAATTCTTACAAAGAATAATAACTTGAAGAATGATTTATTATATAACAACATCAACAAATAATCACAGATATTGACATTAAAAATAACTTATTTTTCTACCAATACACAATTATGTCTTGAATTGATTTTTTTTATAAAACTGATCAGTATTCACATTAACTGAGTGAAGATAATAAAAACTTCGAATTCAATTTTGCGGTTATTTAATCGTTTTGAATGTTTTTCAATTTCTATAAATTGGTGCAATGAAATAGAAATTCGATCAATTGATTTTATTTCGTGGGAAAATAAATAGTGGTGCATCTACTTATATTGGAAATTATATAGACAACAAGAGTTGTTCTCACTTCAATATTTTCAATATAATTCATGAGGAAAACCTACAAAAATTCATGAAACCACTATGTCATTACAATAAACTAACACAAATCATATTTGGATCATTCGGACAGCACAAAATATCATTATTAATACCATCATTCAACTTACATGTATCACAGCAGTCATTGGAAGTAATGGACCATCTTCTGCGCCTACGCACTCAATGGTTTAAGCATTTTGAATAAATCGAATTTCACCTGTGATCCACAAATAAATCACAAACAATTCCTTGAAAGTACAAATTGTCATTAATGAATAATTCGCAGAGATCAGCTGATCACAACAAATCGCTTCTAGAAATGGCAAATAAATCTGGCATCGGTGTACAGTTTTGCCAACTTAAATCGATAACGCGGTTCGCCCATTTCGAAAGTTACTAGTATTTTTCGATGTGTAGTTTTGGTACGACATTGTTACCAAGTATTGCGCAACTATCAACCCAGCGTGAAAGCCCTTTAGAAATGTTATCGAGAATCGTCTAGAGTTAGAGCGCATCTGATAGCCCGCGTGGGAGAAACGATGGAGTGAAAAAACAATAATAATTTGTTTTCTGTGACGGGAAAAAACTTTGATATTTTATATCTGTTGACATCAGGTTATAAAATGTCACTTTTCATGAATTACTTTTTTTCCACGGGAAAAAAGTCTGCACTTTTTTCCGGGATGTACAGGGTGTTATTTAAGTATGTGGCCAAACTTGAAGGGGTGATTCTTTGAGTGATTCTAAGACGAAAAGTTCATATAAACATAGGTCCGGTAATGCTTCGTTTTCAAGATACAGGGTGTCAAAATTTGTAAAAGAAATCGTTGTTTTCGTAAATATCTTAATAACCCTCCAACCGATTTCATTGAAAATTGGCAGTGTAATTCAAGGTCGTAAAGGGCTAATTTAACCCCAACTATATCAAAATTATCATGTCCAGTGGCGTCCCGGAAGGCACTGTTACCAATATTTTTGACAGAAAAAATGTGCGCCACTGTTTTTTTTGCAATTTTCGTATCTGTTTCACATTGAACAACTGAAGTTACAACTTTTTTATATCTAGAATTTTTTCCGTATCTTGCTTTGTTTTTGAGAAAAAACATAAAAATCACTTCATTGCACATCCCTGCGACAACACAATAAAACATTTCAACTACTAAACCATCAAAAACTGGGGTCTTACTAATATTTTTTCATATTAATACTCTATTCTAGTCTTGGAATTTTCTATCAAAATTAATGCAGTGAAAAAACAAAAAATATGTATGTATGAATTGCAGCACTTGCCTTCGGCTCTTGGCTTCGGCTCGTCACAGGGATGTGCAATGAAGTGATTTTTATGTTTTTTCTCAAAAACAAAGCAAGATACGAAAAAAATTCTGAACATAAAAAAGTTGTAATTTTAGTTGCTCAATGTGGAACAAATACAAAAATCAGTGGCGCACATTTTTTCTGTCAAAAATATTGGTTACAGTGCCTTCCGGGACGCCACTGGACATGATAATTTTGATGTAGTTAGGGTTGAATTAGTCCTTTACGACCTTGAATAACACTGCCAAATTTCAATAAAATCGGTTGAAGGGTTATTAAGATATTTAGGAAAAAAACGATTTCTTTTAAAAATTTTGACACCCTGTATCTTGAAAACGAAGCATTACCGGACCTATGTTTATATGAACTTTTAGTCTTAGAATCACTCAAAAAATCACCCCTTCAAGTTTGGCCACGTACTTAAATAACACCCTGTATTTACAGGGTGATCCACGGTGGATGGCCTATTAGAAGTATCTGGAGAACGAAAAGACAACACATTCTGAAAATTGAGATGCTTTGATAATTGAACATTCTCTATCCGTCTAAAATATATTCATCGATACAGTGTTGCCACTTCTATCAGAAACAACTAGCAACTTTGTTATTTCAAATGGAACACCCTGTATTTTTTGTCGTTTCTAGATTCTTCTTGAAGAGCTGATTTCATCAATGTATCACACTTGGGGTCTAGCAGGAATAATTACAGAGATATAGGGTGTTCAAAATCGAGATTTTTCAATTTCAGGAATTTTTTGTGTCGAAACTATTCATTATCGATCGAAACGGCTTGCATGTCCCTATCTTAACTTTTGATTCACTATCTACTGACATTTAATTGGAACAGATACAGGGTGATCAAAATTCTGAATCTTGGACCACCCTGTATTTTTTCCAATTAAATTCCAGTAGATAGTGAATCAAAAGTTAGGATAGGGACATGTGTGCCGTTTTGATCGATAATCAATAGTTTCGACACAAAAAATCCTAAAATTGAAAAATTTCGATTTTGAACACCCTATATCTCTGTAATCATTCCTGCTAGACCCCAAGTGTGATACATTGATGAAATCAGCTCTTCAGGAGGAATCTGAAAATGCAATAAAATACAGGGTGTTCTATTTGAAATAACAAAGTTGCTAGTTGTTTCTGATAGAAGTGGCAACACTGTATCGATGAAAATATTTTAGGCGGATAGAGAATGTTCAATTATCAAAGGATCCCAATTTTCACAATGTTCTGTCCCTTCGTTCTCCAGGTACTTCTCTATTTCATATGTTAAACTGACCCTCTTTGTAATTATGCAACAAGTTATCGATGTATAACCCGAATATTTTCAAGTACTTAGTATTACTGCTGAATATACAACATAGAATATACTGATTACAGAGTTGCAAAAATATTTTGTGAGTTGTGTATTTATCAACACACTTTTATTATTTAATTTTCTACTTGTTTTTAGTTTGGCTATATATGTATAAAAGCGTGTTTGCTAAAACATTTCAATTAGCAACCGGACATTTACTTCGTTTTTTAAATGGAACACCCTGTATATTATTGCATTTTTAGATTCTCCCTGAAGAGCTGATTGCATCAACATATCACTCCTGGGGTCAAATTGGAATGATTACAGAGGTATATTTGATTTTTTCAGAAAAGACAGGTTGAGAAACAAACTTGACGATATTGAACATCGAGTTACCCAGTCGAAAGCCAACCTCGAAGAGTCTGCTAAACTTCTGAATAACGCTTCGGCCCTTCTGGACCTATCGATAGGAAAGCTGAAAGACCTTCAAGATGCTCCGGAAGTTCTCGAGACTAACAACAACAATTTCAAGAGCCAACTCGAGAACAACAGGGAAGAATTGGATGCTATTGAAGAACTCAAGCCACAGGTGCACACTCTTATAGAATATTTGATATTTGAATACCCAGTGATTGGCACACTGTTTTCAACATATCGACGCTCGAGAAGCAATTCCTTATGTCTCCATAGTATCAGTTTTACAGAAGACAAAAATTACTGGATTATTTTTGAATATACCAGATATTTTTTTGGCTTGATTCTGATAGCTTTAACCCTTTACTTGGAAAACTATCATCTGACACAGAATAAAATATGTATTCATCATTTTCCATAGAATACAATTAATTAACTGATTTCTGACGCAAAATAGTTATTTTTGTATCTAGTGCGCGAAATGCTACTTTGGTTATCAAGAACTGATTTTTTTAACGAGGCGCGGCCGAGTACAAAAAATAGTCAAGATGATCAAAGTATTTCGCGCACGAGTTGCAAACAAAATGTTTTCTACAAACGTAAAAAAATACAGTTGTAATATGCTTAGCTTGATATGAAAAATAGTGTTGAACTGGCTTAAAAGGCCTCTTCCTATACTCCCTAGGTACGCACGATGTTCCACAAATATTATAGGAATTTACTTTCGTGCGCTCCAAGAATTAACTGAAAAAAAGTATCACTTCGCAATTTGTTATCAAAGCGCGAACCTTGTGGTTTTTTTGACGTTTGTAGAAATAGTTATTTATTATACAAGGGAAAAAAGTAGTAGATTTTAGCTCCAGGTTGTGTTGTCTCCCGACGCGTAGCGGAGGGAGACAAAAAACCGTGAGTTAAAATCTAATATTTTTCCCGTGTATAATACACTATTTTTTTCTGTGACAGAAGGAAGGACGAATCAATATTGAGAAGATATTACATTATCTCGAAATCTGAAAATTATCGACGTGAAATTTCAAGTTTTTAACAGTAGGGACACCTGCGTTTTATAGGCATCTTTATCATTCTTTTGAAGTAATCAAATATCTGATATCACTTCTGTCAGTCCAATTCTGTGGTTTGATTTTGAAAAATTGCGAATTCAGTAGTTGTTTGGTAATATACGAAACCGCGAAGTCGAATGGAAGATAAAAGGACTCGCAGTTCTTTCTCGGAGACGGTATTATTGACTCATTTTTCGGAACTATAGCACAACAAAAGCCATTAACAGAGTGTATATATGTGATATATATCCGGGAAAAAAGTACTCACTTTTTTCCCACGGGAAAAAAGTAATTTATGAAAAGTGACATTTTATAACCTGCCAACAGAGATGAAATGCCAAACTTTTTTCACAGAAAAAAAGTATTATTTATTTCAAATTTTACGTGTTTAATAAATGTGTCTCAGGAGATGTCATACGAATCCTATAAGTTACAATGCCTGATAAGCAGAAAATTAACCTTGTATTTCATAGCACAAGTTGAAATTGATAATTATGTACTTAGAGAATTTTGAATATTTCAATTATCTAAAAAATCACTAAAAATCACAAAAAATAGTAACAATGATTCAAAATCGGAGCTTAGCATTCACTTACGGTATCAGAATTCAGAACACTTTCTGATTCCGCTACTCCATTTCATCGAAAATTAGTTTTGTTCTGTTGGACACTAAAAACTACAAAAACATACTTTGCACTAGTCCTTGGTAGGTGGCAGAGTATATCTAAGAATGACTTGCTAGAGTACTATTTACCAAGCAAATTATCCTACAAGACAACATATCGATTATTAGATATCGGGTAATGTATCTTCTTGTATACAATTCGATTCTTCCTTCACCTGGCAATGTATATTATGAGATACATTTTTCTAAAAGACGTGTCAAATTTTCGTAAAACAATAATCGGTATAATAAATATAACCAAGGAGTTACTTATACACAGTAGTATAACATTCATACTAGTATCATTGACCAGAATAAAATATATTTTTTCTACTCACATAACTAAAAGGGCATTTAGCGTATGGATACGTACCACGCTAAATGATCGATTAATCACGGATTGACGATCTGTGATTTATTCAAAATATTAAACACGTTACCATGGCAACACGATTTCTTAAACACATTACCATGGCAACACAGTTCATTAAACACATCTTCAGTAATTTGAGACATGTCTGGCCTGTCAATTGTATTAACTGTCAACTGTTATTTTCAAATTGTATCAGAATTATTCAAACAATTTTCGTTTGTATCGGAATGTTTCATTAAAAATATATGCGAAATGTAGAATGTATCTCCATGAAGTGTAAAAATTATGCATCCATCTTTGAGAACAATTTATTCATTCTGTGCTAAGCATGACAATAAACGTGAAACAAAGGTTAGTAAGCAATGGACTGGACACATCTACAAATAATATCACTTATCGGTGTCTCGCTGGTTGCATGCAGTTGCATGTATTATGTTCTCAATTCCCATTCCTTTCGAATTATTCCGTAGGTTAGCAGGAAAAGCAGGTATGTTGATGTAATTTCCGGAGTTCGTAGAAAAAGCATAGTATGTAACGCGTTTATAAACTCTTCTAGACACTCGTTTAGTAAACACTCGTTACTAAAAGGACGTTTATAACACTTGTTACATAATATACTATAGTACTACAACTATGCGAAAAAGCTACTATCGGATCGAGCGTTCATCTACTTTTCCGCGCCATCTTGAACACAGTGAGTTTATTATGACAAAACCGATTTTTTGTTTGCCGCGGTGCCATTTACATGGAAAATCTAGTAGTTCACACACATATCCATAATCAACTTATGAAAATTGCAGAAATTTTAGAGTTTTTTTTTTCAACAAATATATTTAAAAGATTATCCTACCAGATACTAGGAGAAGGGTTAAGAGTGTATATCAATCTTGAACATACGAGCTATTGAAAACTATTGGAGATTATCTATTTCATTCTTGATGAAAAAGTGTAGGTACAGCGCATAGTCTTAGCATTACCTGACTACAATTTTAAAACATTTCAGCATTCAGGAAAGAAATACTTGCAGTTAGTATTTGTTTATACAAATTGTTGCATAAATAATCATATTGTTCTGCGTGACGTTGATCACTCGTAGAAATTATCATCATGATCATCATCATCATTATCATTATCTTCATTTTCATCTCCACAATTGATAAATATGTAAGTATATAACAGTATGTAAGTATATAACAGGGGGCATTAAAACAAAATAAAAAAGTATTAGGGACAGTTGTGTGCATCAACAAGTCGTACAACAGTTATGAGTTATTGTGAGTCAGGCTTCTCAATTTTGATCTTATCGATTTTAACAAGTAGTGTCAAAATTCAAACTATTTTTGTCAGTAACGCGCAAATGTGTACGTGTACTACTTTCTAATGAAATCTGGACCATCATAGGCAGGTTACACCATATAAACCTTGTACAACTTGTTCATGCACACAACTGTACATTACATTCAAAATGTAGTAGCTATAGATATTACTTACTTACCCATAGCAACAGCCGCCATATACCAAGCCCACTTCGGAATATTACATTCCTAATATTCTTTTCCTAATCAACGATCATAGTCAGATTTTGTTATATTATATTTTCGTTTTGTCAGGAACTGTCAAAACATTTTGTATTCATTCAAAATGTGATTTCAATTATTTAGTTCGATAATTTTGACGACTGAACGAAAAATACTGTGTATACTATGACCGTGGAAATACCTACATACTATGAAATTTTTCGTTCAGTTTCAAAGGAGATCACGAAACAATTTAACCTCAATTAGTCTGACGGATACTTGACATACCTAACCCAAATAATAATTATCGATGTTGTAACCGAACAAGGATAATAGCTATTTATATATCAAGGGAGAAAAGGTATCCATTTCCTTCCGCGTGTGAACGCGTAGCAGAGTGCATTAAACACACATGGGAGGAAATTAACATTTGCTCCCATGATATCATTGGAATTCAGAAGGGATATTATTATTTGTTTTAGTAGTGATAAAGACACTGATTACTTGGATTGCACAGATTTCATAGGTATATTGACGCCAAAGGATGCATGCTGAAGCCAATTTCTTTCACCTCCCACGGGAGTTAATATTTTTTTTCTCCCGTGGGAGTAAATTGACAACTTTGTTTCCTTAAATGAGGGAGCAAACGCCTACTTTCGATTAAGTGCGTAGATGAACGATATGACTTTTCAGGTGCAAGAACACGCCCAAAACCTGTCGGAGCGCGTCCAACAGCTGGAACACATCCTCTCCGAGTCGCAGTTCGGCTCGACGGACGCCATCAAGGCCGCCAGGGCGTACAAGGACATAGTGGCCGCGGTCAGAAGCGCCCGAGCGGCCGCAGACAGCGCTCATAACGACACCGACGACGCTGCCGGGATCCTTGGAAACGTCCACGAAAGAACCAACGACGCAGAATCCATATCGGCAAAGGTGGGAATCTCATACAAAATATATCTAAAGTTCTTTCACTCACGACAGCTTGATTTTTCGACTCGGCACCCCCCAACCGGCTGCATGTCGGCAAATCCTTTGACAAGCCGCAGCTAACAGCGGCGGGTAAAATATTTTTTTCGTTACCACAAACAAAATCTGTTTTCAAATGAGTTTTTGATTGTTCAAAAATTACCTATATATCCATTTTGGAACATGAGAGTATCGAATATTGGTAAGTTTCCAGACCACCCATGAGGTATTATTATGGGTCGTTACTTGTTTTTAGTGGGTGTTCGCCAATAGTCCCATATTTGAAAAATGAATATAAAATTCAACTAAATCAAAATTCTCAAGAAAATAAAATATGGATATAACATTGAACTTGATAAAAATTCTCAACAAAATGAAATAAAAATAAAACATTGAACTTAATAAAAATTCTGATAAGGATGAGGAACTTCAAAGTATGTATGTAACAATATGAATAAGTTGAGTACCTACTATGGAAATGCCAATAATTCTGAATTTCTGGTTGGTAGAGTTACTCTATGTATATACTCATATATTCGTGTGATTATACAAGGTTTAAAATCATACGAAGAAAATAAACAACAAAATTAAATATAAATAACATTGAACTTAAAGAAAATTCTCAGCAAATAAATGGTATATTCTGAAAGGGTTTTTTTGGTTGAATTAGAAAAAGGTACAGCTTCACTACACATGTCACATCACTTTCCTAAACTTCACACTTTGGTTATGATAATCACAATATGATTCACAACACATCACTTATTAGATTTCATAACTGTTATACACAAATACTGGATGATATATCACTAGTCACTATCGGACTTTTTAGGACTTGAATCTTCATTTACCCTAATAATCACTGGATTGATACGTGGTAAGAAACAATATTCATGTTCTTTCTTTGATAAAATGAGATACACAATTCCTCCATTATGTCACTCTTGTTTATCTCATTAACTACTGTCCTGATGGTGATTAAAACTGGCTCGCTCAGTTGTGGTGATTGTTTATTTTTACATACTTTGCTTTTAATAGCAGCCCAGACTATCTCAATGGGGTTAAAAACACAGTAATATGGGGGCAAACGTAAGACAGTATGGCCGTGAACTGTGTATATAGTTATCTCTTTGTGAGGGCTATGTCCAATAATCTCTTTCCTAGTCACTTTACAGTTCCCTCGATATCACTTTCATCTCATTGTTTTCACTCCTGGACACGGGTGTTACGCAGGTAGCTATAGCTGCCTCCGTGGTGACGTTAGCTGTTTCCCAGAGATCTCAGGGTCTGCTGACCGAAACCACAAATGTGCGACTGGCTTCTGTTTGTTGACTCCGTTTATTTGTTGTTTCGTTTTTCACCCAGTGCTGCCCATCCTTTGCACTTCCTTTCACCGTACTGATGAGGGTCGAAAGCCCGAAACACGTGTATACGGTTATCTCTTCGTGAGGGCTATGTCCAATAATCTCTTTCCTATACAACTAACTTAATCATGAACTTAATATATCCGTGTAAACTCCTTAATGTAATGTAATGTTTTTAGAGAACAATAAATGTATTGATTAATTGATTGACTATGGATTTTGCCTAAATAAAATGTAATCGCATATTCGCATCGCAATCTCAAATCGAATGGTTATTTTATTATTTGAAACCAATAAGTGCAGATGGATACATGACAATGTAACTCCAACAACCCTCAAGTTTCCCAATTTTCCAGTTGAAAATTCGTGCTTGTTTTGACACAGGTCTTGGATGATGCCCACGACTTACTGCAAGAAAAAGACAAACTAGAACCGAAACTGAAGCAGGTCTTATCAGCGTATGAGCCAGTTAGGAAGACATACAATACAGACGAGGAGTTGTTGAAGGAAGTGGAAAAGATTTTGGAAAATATCCAGGTGAAAGATTTGGGAGAGGCGTACAAGGAGGCTTCCAATAATGCTGAAGGAGCCATCGAGTCGATGGCTGAGGTGAAAGAAGTTGTCAATACATCATTCAGTGAGGTAAGTGAATCGGTATTGGTGTAAATTCTCATCATGATCTTTATTCTGATATATTTTTCCACTACTAGCATCTGAAGGCACTATTATTTCTTATGTTCTCAACTTCTTCTTCAACTGTTGGACAACAATGTCTCCAACACCTGGGAACACCTTTTTACACATTTACCGCATACAACACTCGGTTCAAAGTTAACTTCTTGGTATATTTGAAATTGCACAGAAAATAAAGTCAATAGTAAAGTTTTGATCAGTTTCTTGGATGTAATACCCAACTGTCATGTTTGGAGTAGAACTGGGTCTATAAGAACTCCTCGTTTTGCAGTTACCTAAGGAAACGAAGCAAGCACAACTCCTTCCCAAGGAACTAGATGATATGAAACGCAGTCTTGTCCAAACCGAGAAACAAATCAACACAGTAAACGAAAAATTGCCACCTGTCGTAGAGAGTCTCAATGAACTACCGAGAATCCAGGAAGACCACAAGAGAAAATCAAACGGTATAAAATCAAATTTGAAAAAACTGACGCAGCAGATTGAATTAGCCAGAGATATAGCGAACAGGATCAAAGTTGGCGTGAAATTCTTACCGAATACGACTTTGGAGTTGAGGAATCCGAAGAATATCGAAAGTCTCAGTACTTCTACTAAATTTTCTGGGTATTTCAAGACCGATCAGCCGAATGGACTTATATTTTATATTGGGAACCCTAATGGCACCAATTTACCAAAAACTAAATCGGTACGTACATACTCCTTCTATACATGCATGTTGAACAATGATGGTTTATGTAACATATCTCAAACGGGCTACAGGTACCGTGTTAGATATTAGTAGCTTTCCTATAACAGAATACATTGAATGAGGGTTAAACCAGTGCTATAATCCATATTTATGGAAATTGAGCTATGCATCTGATTTCTGATTCCAAAACAGTGGTAACACATTCAAATTCGGTTTTCGTTGTGGTATATCTCATTAAAAATGATTATGAATTTAGCCGCGCCATATGTTACTTCGCCATTTTCGTTTTCTGATTTAGAAACAAAGGAAGAACAAAATCAATGTTTTTATGAACAGAACAACGGGCTGGCATGATATGTTTTTTCAATCAAAGCATGAAAATATGTTTTTTTTCTTCAATTGACTGGGCCGTTACATGATGAAAATCCATAGCAGATGTAAAAACTTCACAAACGATGAAAATTCCACAAAAAAATGACATATTTCGCTAGCACAGTAATTTCATCAGGTGAAATACTGGTACAATGGAAAAAAAATAATTTAGAGATTCTATTGAGATCATTTTCTAGAACACGATCTCCAAATATTCATTAAATATTTGATTCTACTGAGAATATGTGAATAAAAAAATATATCCGCTATTTTGTGATTCAATTTGGGACATCTTCTCAGGGCTCCAGTAATAGAAGAATTCTCTTTGTTACATTATCAAAATATTTTTCCCGCCTCAATTCATCGTCAATCCAAATACCAAGATATTTCATGTGAGAAGTTGATATTTGAGTAACTGGTAAAATCAATTAACAATTGCATACATGTTGTCGAGAGGGTCATGAAAACCACAGGAATCATGTTGTAGTGATTTTTGAATCATCAAGTGTGTATAATTTCAGGATGATTACATGGTACTCATCATCCAAAACGGATATCCAGTTCTCAAGTTGAACATTGGTAATGGTAATGAACAAATCATCAATCCAAAATTCGTGTCTGACAACCACTGGTATCAGTACATCGTGGAGAGGTAAGCTTTATTTTTTTTTATTATTTCAGTTATTGCATTACATTCTTTTCTTCATTGATACATTTTATACAAATAATATGTAGATTATAAGTAATTTTCTACTAGGAATGACATGAATGATCAGACAGTAATTCCTGGTATAAGATCATTCATGAAGTATTATCGACTGTTGTATAATTGAAATTACAAATAGTGAACAAAACTTACATATCATTAAGATATCTCAAAATAAACAGTCATATTATAGTGAACAAGAAGGGGAAAAACAGTAAAGAAAAAAAAAGGGAATTCATATGCTTTCAGCTTTGATCATTCCTTTGCATATAAATATATTTCTTCACTTTATTTTTGAATTGTATAATATTTGGGCTGTTCTCGATATCATCTGGTAATTTATTGAATTGTACACTTTTTTGTCCAAGTTTCGAATTTGCAAACAAGTTATATTGTCTAGTATGATGACCATGAATTTGGGAATTCCTAATTACTATTAAATTTGATTTAAGCTTTTTGTTGATGAAATAATAGGAAATTTTGGGAGTATTGATTAAAACGTGCTCGTCCAAAGAAAATGTGTTTGTTTCCTTATTCAGTTGATTCGTTGGAGTATAGTCTTTCCAAAGTTAGTTGGAGCGCCTCGAGCAAAGAATACTGCAATGTGCAGCTGCTTCCATTGTTCTTCAGAAGGACCAGCAGCGCAAATACGTTCAAGTCAAATATCGGCAAACAATCAATTTTTCACACAGGAATCGTTCTATACAACTCATTACCAAGTCAATTGAGGAATATACAGGAAGCAACTAGATTCAAAATTAACTTAAAAAAATATCTGCTTCAGAGACTTTGATAATCCCATTTCTTATTTGAATACCCATTTATAAAAGAATAGGTTGATATTGCATGATTATTTGCATTTTTTTTTTTTAACTTGTTTTATCTTATTATAATTTCATAATTGTATGTATAACATTATGTATATTGTTTATGTATCCCTATTATAAACAACTATGTTTCTTGGGGTAATAAAGACAATCAATCAATCAATCAATTTGTTAGAGCTGCTCCAATTTTATTTTATTTATTTATTTTTATTTATTGAACAAATAACTTCCAGACAGAATAGGCTCTGGTATAAGGAAGTAAATAATTATATACCTATAGGTAAACATATCATTATACAAAATATATCAACAACTGTGAATTGACAAACAAAGAATAATATTTGTAAAAAAAAAATGGCATGTTCAATTTTATCCAGTTCGCTCAGAAATAATCAATTTTTTCACTTCATTTTTGAATGAACCTATGTTTCTGCAATTTTTTATATTGTCAGGTAGTTTATTGAATTCAGTTAAGGCTGAATGAGTGAATCTTTTTTGTCCGATAATGGAGCTAGCGGCGTCAAGATGAAACAAGTTATATTGTCTTGTTTCATGATTATGAATTTCAGAATTCCGTATCAACATGAAATTCGACTTCAATTTTTTATTTATGATATTATATGATATTTTGATAGTTTCAATTCTATATATTTCATCTAAAGGATACGTATTTGTTATTTCAAACAATTGATTGGTTGGTGTATCAAATGGGAGACGATACGATACTTTTAACGATTTTCTATATAATGTTGATATTTTATTGAAATTGTTCTTTGAACAAGTTCCCCAAACATTTATTAAATAGTTGATACGACTCAATATATGAGAGTAGAGAATCATGTTTGCAATTTTAATATCAAGTTTGGGACATATTCTCAATGCACCAATAATTGGAGATATTTTTTTTGTCAGAACATCAATTGACTTTAGAAACTATACATGCACCTACACAGGAAGTAACAAAAACGGAATAATATGATATTGTTCTTGAACTACGTAAACTTCTAGACGAACTATATGAATCAAAGCATCCAACTTACCAAAATATTATATACAGATAATTTATTGTTTTATTTACAACCATATATATAATGTTGTCATTACTAACGTCGTTGAAGGTTGGTAAGTGTCATATTACACACCTCTACTTCCCGCCCTCAATTGTGTAATATTCCAGATATGTTCAGAACGAAACAGAGATTTATTAATTTTGATCGAAATATGATGGTTGTAAATAAAATAGTAAACAAACCTCGGTAGGAAGTTTCATTCCTGTCTCGAGATTATAGCTAACCTCGACGCTTTGCGTCTCGGTTAACTAACTAATCTCACGCCAGGAATGAATCACTTCCCACCTTGGTGTGTAATATACTATTCTTTTTCATTTTAGAGTCGGATTCAATGCCAAGCTGTCAATACGTGAAGAAATTAAAGATGGAGTCGATAATGTAATTGAAAAAGAGAAGGCTTTAGCCGGTCCATACACGATGTTCAATTTAGACGAGAAGAAGTCAAAAATATTTGTTGGGAGCTTCCCCAGCAACTATGAGATGCAAGAAGGAATCGATTTTAGCTCTTTCGATGGTGAAATTGAGGATTTGGTAGTTGGTGATACTCCATTGTCCTTGTGGAATTTCAATTATGGATATGAAAATAGTCGGGGAGCACTTGAAAGGTATTTGGGCTTCCATTCAAAAAGTTGATTTTGAAGTCGATCCGTTTTATTTATGAAATTTCGTAATATGGACCCAAATCATGAATAAAAATCTACTCACTCTATTGGGCATGTAGAAACTTCAGAGAATGCATTTTTGTCTACTTCTATTGAGGGAGAATATGGCGGCAGAAGTGTTTTCTCATGATGAATTTCATACAATGCTGAGGATCACCAATATTTTCTAGGAATTCTTTTATATTCACAATGCTTAATTCCCCTGTTTTTATTCCTGAAAAAACTTATTTTGTTATTTTGGATCGATGATTTGTAGACTATCCAATAATTTTCTGAATGATATTGAATGCTGTTTTATATTTCGTATTCTTAGGGATAGGCTGGTGAATTTGGCGCCAAGTACTGGGTTCAGGTTCAATGGAAACGGGTACGCCATTTTGGATTCCAGATCACTCCAGATTAGATCGAAATCGGTGATTCAACTAAATTTCAAGACATTTGCAACAACTGGACTACTGTTCCTTGCTTTCAAAGGAAAAACGTTCATTGCTCTCGAATTGAAGAATGGAAAAGTCGTTTACCAGGTAAAAGGAAATATTCTCACCTACTCATTATATTGAATATTTTTTTGAAAAAGTAATTTCTGGGTTGGGATACAACGAAAAAGTTTGTTGGGGGATAAGGAAGCCTCTACTCCCAAAAACGTATCATGCTGTAGATTTTAAAAATCTATAAGATGCCTAAAATGATGATCTTCTAGAAAGTATCAACCACACTGAATTTCTAAAGACTTGCTGAATCTAGTTTCATTATATAAACTCAAAATTTGTTGTTTTATTCATTTCGTCAGGAAGGAATTGAAAATATCGAATTTGAATTTTAATGAAGTTAATACGATTCACGCCCATGAAACAAGGCAATTCAATTTATTGATAGCAAATAATTATAAGTCAAATTTTGGTAAACAATCAATATTCCATAATGGAATAATTTTGTATAACTCCTTACCTAATGAGTTGAAAAATATAGAAGAAGCAGAAAAATTTAAAATGAAATTAAAGAAATATCTGCTCAGTAAACTTTAATAGTACTAATCATTCACAATTTGTTTACTTGTAATGGATTATGATATTTTCATTTTATATTTTATTATAATTCTTTTTTTTAGGAAAAACAATAATTATTGTGCAATTATTATTGTTTCGATTTATTATGTTTTATAATATGTATGTTTTGTTGTATATATCCCTATTATAAACAATAATGTTCCTTGGGGTAATAAAGACAATCAATATCTTCCAAAATGAGCGAGATATATCAATTAATAGAAAAAAATAATTGAACTTAGCTCCACTTCTGATCGAGATCGGACTCATGTTTATGTAAATTTTTTGATTAAAATGATTATATCCATCACCCATTTCAAGTTGACTTAAGTATTTTATAGACTGAAATATGTGTTATAGAGAAAAAAAAATTCGTTTTATAGTGGACTTTTATATATGAATTGAAAATAAGAATACCTGGTCAGGACAATTTGATTGAAAAATCTTTGACATGATTTAATTACTCAGAATTGAAATGTTATAACATTCATCTTAAGAAAAAGTATGAATTTGTTTCCACTGAGTGGAATTTATTAGTTACATGTCAATAAATAAATGGTCTAGGTATTGTGTCATAGTAGGATATATGCAAGAAAGGTACATGCACCCTTACGGAAAACGATATGCTTGTAGTTCAATGGCCGACGATTTCACGTAATATGACGTGGTCTATTCCAGTACAACCTGGGCGGCGCCACCAAACGATGGGTCACCACCGACGCCTACAACGACGGCGCCTGGCACAAGATAGTCGCGTCCAGGGACGGCGCTAGGGGCCAGCTGGTGGTCGACGATGAGGACGTCATCGACAGGACCGTACCCATAACCGGTACGACCTTGGACCCCATCGACACGATCTCGTTCGGCGGGTACCCGAGCCGACACCGCTACGGCGACGTGACCGAGACGAGGTTCGACGGGTGCATCAACAATGTCACTATCATGGGCGGGCCGGTGGATTTGCGGAACAACATCAAGGCGTATGACGTCACGCCAGGGTGCCCCGATCAGGTTAGTAGCGGTAATGATAATGGTTCGTCAACTCGATAATTGTGTAGCTCAGTAAAACGGTAACAATAAATATCCCCTTGTGAAAAAATTCAAGTAGTCGGTTTCTCTACGGTTTATTATGTTTTTGTGGGTGCTGAATCTGCATCTGAAGTTTGCAAACAAAATTTCCTGGAGCTTTCTGAGATATTCGCAAAAATCAGCAAAATGTTCGCACTTTTTCAGGTTTTTTGTCTTTAACTCGAGAGCTATACATTTTAGCGAAAAGACCATCCTATAGAAAAATGAAGTAGATGCAATTTTCTATATATATACTTCTTCTTAAATGTAGGACAGGAGTGCGAGGAGCTAGAACAGATAGACTAAATTTGCGTATTTTGCAAAAAATGGTGTTCTTCGTCGGTGCTCGTAGATATTTCATAATCTACGCAATTCAACAAACTATTCAATTTGATTCTTTATTTGTCACAGTACTCAAAGTATATTCACGTCAGCTAGGTAGAATAATGTTTTTCACACCTGCCTCTTGTTATTCGTTAGCGAAGACAAAAAAACAAGTTTCTCTCATATAGTGCCAGATAGAGGATGATACGGATCAGCCGCCTGCCAAAGGACGATGTTGCGACAATTATATATTGTAGATTGTAAAGATAACCCTCATCTAATTATCTTCTATAAACCTAGGATTTTATTGATGGTAGACGTGTTTTAGGTGATTCACCCTTCAGCGGACTAGAACAATACATGCATGATCAAAGCACGTTCTGCGGTTTCGGTTACGTTGTTTCAAATGCGGCAAGTTCAAGTTTCCGCAAGGCCCATTTTTTAGTCATACCTCAGAGGGCAGTGCTTTAGTTCTGCTTTACCGAGACTTTTTTTATGTTCTGGTTCCTACGAAAAGGGATATCCTGTAATGTTCAGAGAACATCGTGAGAACCAAGAGAAATAAGGTAGGAATTGGTGTTCTTCTTGAATTTCTGGAGGTTATATGCCTCGGGGAACACCTCCCTTGGCAATGTGTTCCAGAGCCTCGCCGTTCGTTGGATGAACGAGTCTTTGGAAAGAGATGTTCTGCAGGTCTCCAAAGTGACCACGAAGGGGTGCGAAGCCTCAACTCGACGGGTTAATCTCGCGGGGACTGCCAAGGGAGGAACAATTGTTGATATTTCAGAAGAGCATCGTTCATGAAAATATCTATAAAATAGAGCTGAATCGCCAACTTTTCTACGGTTGTCCAGAGAAGTGAGTGAGTTTGTGAGCGAGGCATCACCCACGAGACGAATTGCCCTTTTTTGGACAGAATCCATCAGTACCAATTGTTGATGCCCTTGTTTGTTCTTGTTGACCTGAAATTGCATGCTCACGAGTAGGAGGCTCATTCGCTCTCTCCGTATTATGAGCTCTGCGATTAGATAGCATTTGCTTGCTTTTTGCTAGGCGATTAGCTGCCTCATCCCCTGAATTTAGACAAATCAAACAAGTAGAAATGATGAACTTGAGTGTGACAACTACGGCCAGCATACGTCTCCACGTCCGAGCGCTCTAACATACGTTCACCTGCTTGCATATCAACAAACTTCACATGAGCTCTATAGGAAATTCGATGCTCTTTCAATTTGTGCATGATATGTTTTCTCGAGTAATAAGTGGATTTTGAAATATCTACTAAAAACCCACCAAGAACGCTATTTTCCGCCAATGGCTCTTGGGTTTCATCAGAGTCTGGGGTTATAGATGACCATTAGATGATAGTTATCCCTACAATCTACAATCTAATCTGGCGGGGGCTGGTGTCTTGAAGGATCCAGTTCTGGTGATGGTGATGGTGCAGATGGAGGTGGTGGTATATAACGGAAACTTGGTTTTCCCTCCGCTATCGAATAACAAGAGACAGCTGTGAAAAACATTACTCTACCTAGTTGATGTAAATAAATTCATTAAGTACTGTGACAAATCATGAATCTAGTTACACTCTGACAAAAGCAATAACTCACATGGCCATTACTCCCGCACATCAGGTAGTCTAGTTTGTTCCTTCTAGAAATGCGTAGATTATGAATTATCTACGAGCACCGAGGAAGAACACCATTTTTTGCAAATTATGCAAATTTGGTCTAATTTCAACTTGTTCTGCCTCCTGACCCGTTAGTCCTACATCGATGAGCAAGAACAATTATATATAGAACATTTCATCTACTTCACCTTATCATGCGATGGCCTCTTCGCTATAACTATAAATTAATTCCATCTTGTTTTCTTAAAGTAATTTCCCAAAGAAATGTTCCCCCTCGCATGCCTAGATCCAAGGCCTCGATCAACATTATGAAATAGTGACATGGTCTAGTATTCACTAATATAAACAGCGTTGCCGTATCAATCAATTCATAGCTATAAAGTGCAGGTAGTTTCGGATGGCGTGGTGGGTAGTTCGGTCCTTGGTCAGAGGAAATGTATATATTTATTCCATTTCAATTTTATCTGCTCATGGTGATACAAATTATCGATAGCTATCGAGCAAACCCAAATTGCACTTATAGCAATTTCAGGCAGGTAAAGCTAGTTTCATACTCAGTTCGCACAGAAGCTCCACTGCTATTGTCAAATATTTGATCTAGTTCAGTCCTAATAGAACATGTATCTAGAAATTATAGTTGCTTCTGTTGCCTCTGTTGCCTTACAAAATTAGATGTAATGAAATTGAAACCCGTCTCAATTAAGTGGAGATAAAACTTCTGTAATTCATAATATTGATGATTTTTCTCTTCAAAGGCCATGTTTGTTTGAACCACAACAACATAGCTCGTTGTGAACTGATTCGCCCTAGTGCGTTTTTCTAAGGGAACATGAAATTGTCAACTCTTTCTACCAATTGGAAGAAAATATTCCATTCATTGCGCACTAACTTTACCGATGGAAATTGCTATGAGGTAAAACAAAATGTAAAAGTTGCATATCGCTATTTTGAAGTTGAGAACCAACTCCTCAGAAGTCGAAACTTGTGCGGGGTAAGGAAGAGCGGTACCTAAAGCTTATGGTGGAATCCGAAACACTTCTAGGGCGCCCAGGTGCTGCCAGGATTACAACCAAGAATCACATATTTTTATAAAAAATGCACAGCCGAGCCGCATTCGAACCGACAGCACAGTGAATGTGAGTTCTTCCAACAGCTCGAATACCTTGCCCCCCTAGTATCATCACAAAGTGAGAAGAGGTTAAACGTATATGTTGGTTCAAAATAATTAACATTCATCGGCTCTCGCTCTTTATTCTGGTGATTTCAACCAGAATTTGACACTCTCATGAATGAATGAGATTGAGTATCTAACCAAGATCAATTTCTCTTAGAATGATTCTACTCCAGCGAGATATGGAAGGCTATTCACTCCCCCTACTCATTTGAATAATGATTCTTCACGAGACTATAAAAGTATATAATTTAATCTCTTCAAAAAGGAACTAAACATTTCCAAATCTAGAACTGAAAAATAACAGAACATGTCATTTGACTGAAGACTCTGACAACTATTTCTGTTATAGGTAGCATCAATGGTCTCATTTGGCAATGAGTCTAGCCACTACGTCGGATGGAAAGGCCTACCACTCACGAATGAGTTCAACGTCAGTCTCAAATTCAGGACGAATAGAGAGAACGGGCTAATTTTCTACATCACCGACCCCGTCCAGGACAACAGCATCTCTCTATCTTTGAAGAACGGTTATCTCGTATTGGTGGATCAAAACATCGAGCTCGTTTCGAAGGATACCTTCAACGATAGTACTTGGCATGTGGTTTCTGTTATCCATAACGATAAGTTTTTGAGGATGGATACGGATGACTATGGTTTCAGAGTGTAAGTATTGTTTCAAGATTTTTATTATAATAATAATAATAATAATAATAATTTTATTTACCTATAAGTACACCAGTACAAGCAAAATAAGAGAATGGTGAATAAAGAGATACATCCCAACAAGGACAACCTTGGTAGTGGGAGTGATATTGAATAATAATTATAATAAGATCTAAACTAATTTACATTATTACATATTACATATTAATGGTAATGATGATGAAATTGAAATGATGAGGGTGAAAGTATATGGAATAATTTACGGAAATAGTATTTCTTATATCATATTCAGAGAATTGGTCATAGTAGACAAATCACCAAAAGGCAAACCTTGTGGGTAGTGAAATATGTCTACTTATACCATGACTCTTGACATATGATATGACCTGGAAATACTATCACTATACTACTTTTACAATATATATATGCAAATACAAATAAAAAATCTTCTGAGATGATTTTTAGTTTTTATATATTATTTTCAACATTGTAAATTATGATATGAATTTTTTAAATCTATATGATGATGTCGTGGATGTTGGCTAATCCATTGTTTCATTTCCGATTTGAATAATTGACTGGAATTGAATTGCTTATATTCTTGAGGAATTAAGTTGTATAGTTTTGGCCCTAAGTAGGTATAACTTCTTTGCAGGGTGTTTTTTTCAGGTCTTGGTATAGCTGATGAAGTATTTTTATGTCATGTGTTATAGTCATGGTTTATTGGTGTTAATGTATTTCTGTGGGTATGTTGCCGTGCTAAGGCTGTTAAGAAATATAGTTGTCGGGCGTCAAATAATTTTGTTTCACGAAACAGTTCATTAGTAGGGTAGGTATATGATTTTTTATACATGATCTTGATGATCCATTTCTGAATCTTCTCGAGGTTTTTCGTATAGTTATTTGTAGCAGCTCCCCAAGCTAAAATGCCATAGTTCAAATGAGGTTCAACCAAAGCATAATACAGTATTCGAAGTTGATCAATTTTCAGAACATTCGATAAATATTTGAATTTTGATAATGTGCTACGTAACTTCTTTATCACAAAATTGATATGAACATCCCATTTCAAATTACAGTCCATAAATATTCCCAGATATTTAATATGTCGGGCCATGGATATCGTTTGGTTGTCCCCTATTTGAAGGGACTCGTAACTTGGCAAGTTCTTCGAATATGATGTGAAAAGCATGAAGTGTGTTTTATCGATGTTTATTGTCGTTTTTCGAACCATTTTTTAATTATTTGCAGGTCACTTCCTGCTTTATCCTTCAACGTCTGCCAATCTTCAGCTACATAAATGATGGCCGTTTCATCAGCAAAACTAACCACATCTCCTTTCAAGTCTAGTTTGAATAGGTTGTTGAGATAAATATTGAAAAGTAATGGCCCCAGGACCGTTCCTTGAGGAACACCGTACCGTATAACTGTTTTTTCACTTAGACTGTCATTTATTCTTACTCTTTGTGTTCTTAGTTGTAGGTAATTTTCCATCAGACTATGCGGCTTTCCTCTAAAACCAATACTTTCCAATATGTTGAGCAATTGGTTGTGATCGACGGTGTCAAACGCTTTGGCTAGGTCTATGAATATAGCAAGAGTGTGTTTCGATTCATCAACACACTTACAGAGCCTAGATGTTACATATAGTAGAGCATCATGCGTTGACTTTTTATCTAACTAAATATTGTTGTGACGGTACAACAAAATGCATCATTTCTGTATAACATCGATTGGGGTGACATATGAAGATTTAGTGTTACTCATGGTGAAGAATGATAGACAAGTGGGCTCTTTTTCATTTTTTAAATAGGATCATCACTCAATTACCTTCCAATTTCATATTTTTTTAGATTTTTTGTGGATATTAAGGTGCTAAACGACCAAACATTTACCGCAAATGAAAGCTTACGTTATGTATTGGTAATATTCTTGATCAGCAATATCAGCAACAAAAAATCCATTGTCTTGTGAATTTGTGTTGATGATAATTATATTAATTCACACTAGAGGAGATTTGGTCCGATAATCGTGACAACACAGGATTCAGCACAGCATTGCCAGCCAACATTCACATGATGTTTTGTTATGGAATATGGAGTATAAAAAATATTTTGAGAAGCTGGTTGCTCGATAAAGTCACATATTAATAACTATAATATCATCGCTTCCTCCTATTAGATCAAATGAAATATTCAATTTTGATGTAATTTTAATTCAACCATAGGGCTTGTAATTGGTGACTTGACAACCTTGCTTTATGACGTCACCATATACCCACACTATTGCTATCTCTCAAACGGTAACAGCTAGGAAGTTGGTTAAACAGAACCAAAGTTGCACATTTCAGGGGACATAAGGCTTGTATGAAGAAATCAAAGATTCCATTAGCCGTTTCCGAGATAATTGATAAAAAAAACAAATTGTCGATTTTCGTTTTCAGGTGCTAAATCTTTCATTTCAGGAAATAAAGGAGACTACAGGGACAGAGATAGCAATAGTAGGGCAACTGAATGTGGGTCACCCTGTATATTCGACCTATCACAGAACATGGCCGAATGGCGGCAACAACGCTACCTTTGACACCTTATTTATATCAAAAACGCAAAAATTAATTGAGGTCCCTAACGACACAGTGCCGTAATTATTGAATGACAATTATATACCTTATACCAGTCCAGTAGCCCATTATTTGATATTGTTTCCTCAAAATTACCAATTTTATGACATATGTTCTGAATATGTATAATGAATAAGAGAGCTAGTTTTTTATTCGTTCATCTCTTGGAGCGCACGAAAGGAAATTCCTATAATGTTCGTGGAACATCGTGCGTACCTAGGGTGGATAGGGAGAAGAGGGAGGTCTTGGTTTTTCTTTCAACTTTTGGATGTTATACATAATACTTCCATTGGCAAAGAATTCCAAAGCTTCGCCGTTCTATAGACGAACAAGTTTTGGTAGAGTGTTGTTCGACATGTTTCAAGGTTAATGACGAAGGGATGTTCTGACTGGGCCTGTCGAGTTCGTCTGACTGGTATTGTTAGTGATGGAATTATAGTGGAGACTTCTGAGGAACTTTTCCCGTGGAAGTATCTATAAAAATGTGAAAGCTCGCCGACTTTTCTACGGTTTTCTAATGGGGTCGAAGAGTTAGAGAAGAAATACTGCGTAGGTTGAATGTGTAATTCTCTCAGTGTTCGCATGTCAATGATCACCAAGATAAGTGATAAATTATCAAATATCAGCAGCATATTCGCGTCCGATCAAGTAACATATCTGCAGGGTCTATCAAGTGCATTTAACTTAACTGACCATTGATCCATCAAATGTATTATCTTATTGATATGCACCTCAAATTGCCTTCTTGAGTTATCGACACCTATGTGAAAACTGAAAAGCCTTATTGATCCATCAAATGTATTATCTCTAAATGGTTTATTTACATCCATCTTATTGATATGCACCTCAAATTGACTTCTTGAGGTATCGACACCTATGTGAAAACTGAAAAGCCTTACAAAAAAACTGACAAATTGAAAACAAGAAATGAAAAATGTTATCGCCCCTTCATGGTCACAGAACACTGAAACGCTGTTACCAACCTTCGTGAATTTAGAGGTATTGAAAACGCCTATTGGACAATTTATTGTTTGAAATGTCAGTTGATATGCCCTCAGATCGACGATAATAAACCTCTAGAAATTTAGCGTCTTAACCATTCAATTGAATAAAAATCAAAGTTCTTTCAGTTGGATGGGTTTTGATGATTGTCAACTTGCTCATTTAGTTGCAATGGCCTACAAATTTTTTCGTCAAGTTTTGATTCGGGGGAATTGTTTGAAAAATAAACTTCAATATCTTATTGTTATTATAATTTTTTTCCAGAACCGATGACGCCCCTCCATACATTCATTCTTTCCAAACCATCCTTTATGTGGGTGGCCTACCCAAACGAGTCGTCGCTAGGACTGGTAGAATAGCGTCCGACGCCCCCTTTTACGGTTGCATCGCCGATTTGACTGTCAACGGTAAAGTGAAGAACTTCGCTAACACTACTGACAGACATGCCGGTATCTTGGACAAATGTATATTCGATCATTTTACAAGCGATTTGAATCATCCAGGTAAGTTGAACGAATTTCTCAGATTCAGTATGATTGTAATATCATATTAATATTTTTGTATTGCTTGATTGCCTTCATTGTCTCAAGAACATAACGGTTTTTTCAAACGAATATTGATAACAATGTATTAAAAAAATGGAAAAATATCTAATAAATATTCCACTTAGTAGAAACAAATTCTTTCTTCTTCAATTATCATGAGTAATGGGCCTATTTCAGAACAAAATTGTGTTCAATAATCTTGAAGAACTAACTCGAACTAAACTAATGAAAAAAATTAATGATATTTCTAAACGCTACGACATAGATATTGAAAGCAATACCGCATTTTTCCTACAATAATATCATCATAGCATTAATATGATATCCTTAACTCACGCAAACGACATACCTAACTTTCTAACGTCAACATCGTCTGACATCTTCATCTTCAAAACATATCATCTAGTCAAATCAATGGTCAATTTTAACAAATACTCCGATTATTCAAATATAATCCTTATATTATCTGATTCATATTTTGATTGAAAAGACAATCAGAAATATTCTTGCACTTCTCTATATAATATACAGAAGGGATATGTGAGTCGAATCTTATATGGTTGCGTTGAATTGTTCACGGTTGATCACGTAACGCATTTCTAGCGTTTTTAATGTTATGAAATATCGTGAATTTCAATAATTGTAATAAAAGTGTTCAGAGTTCTGAGGAAAGACAGTAAACTAAGTACTAACCTTAACTTAGTACTACTGAAAGGAAATTTCTCACTGAAATAGGCCCATTGCTATGTTTTATAGCCGTGGACTGTTCTATATTTCCAATTTCTTTTTTGGCGAAATGAATGAAAGTCAACATAAAACTGTTGGTATCTGAAAACTGTAGATTGAAAATGCACCTAATTGCTTTATTTTGTTGCAGATCCAGTGCTGACACCAATCAAACCTTTACAAGCTGTCACTACTGAAACATATCAAGTAATCACCGAGAGCCCTGATAGTCAATGTGAGTATATAATAAAGAATAATGAGACGATTCCCCGAATGAAGAAGCCCAGAATGGACTGGGCAGTCGGAACAGACTGACCCTAGTATGTGTACGAGCATATACAGGGTACGAGGGTAACGAAGAGGCAGACTCGCTTGCCCGAGCAGGAGCAAATAAAGCTCTGAACGGTCCAGAATCCTTTTGTGGTATTGCGAAACCTATACAAAAGACAAGTATCAAAGCATGGATGCAAACCAAATCTCAAGAATGGTGGAACAACTCGCCAGGAATGAGTCAGGCAAAGGAGTTTATTAAAAAACCATCGCCAACAATCACAAAATATCTACTGAGCCAGAAACGAAGTGCAACTAGAAAACTAGTAAGACTTCTCACAAGGGCATTGTAGACTCAACAAACACATGAGTATGATAGGTCTGGCTCTAGAAATGCTGTGCAGGTTCTGTCAGGAAGTGGAGGAAACAGCAGTACACATACTTTGCCACTGTTCCTTCCATATATTTAAGATAGGTTAGATTATTTAGAAAAAGTAGTCTCCTTCCTTATGCAGTGAGGATATTTTCCTTTATTTTATTATCTATCAGAGTTAGGTTAGATTTATTTCATAAAAAGTAGTCTCCATTTTTACGCACAAAGGATATTTCCATTCCGTATGTCCATATGTCCCTCTCCCGCGATAAATCAAAGGGATATTCAATTCTCATATAGGTCGTGGAATAGTGAATCGTTAACTCTTTTTGGCGCTGAAAATCAAATCTCACCCGCGAAAACATTCATTCATATTCATTTGCATGTCATTCCGACTGACGGAAAAGGACGAAAATGATGGACTGAACGATTTAGCCCTATAATATAACTAAAACTATAACGGACTGACATCTGAGAATTGTGTATATCATGAGGAATGGCTAAAAGAATAACTGGACTTCATTTTGCTGATGAGGATATGATATCCGAAATGAATTCATATAACCTGTTCGTGACAGATATAATTCCCATATCACGATCATGATACGAATGATTTTTTTTTGAAGTTCCAAGCTCATCAAGATCAGAGTTCATAAAAGTATACTTCTCCTATACATTTCAATTTTCATTTCAATACTGAACATATCGGTAAGTTATATTTTTATATCATAATCATATTATTCTATTCGATTTGAGAGATGATGTCAATTCTCAATTTCAGAGGATTTTGATTTTTCATGCTCTCTTTTTGGATATTCAACAGATAGAATTCAATGTTCGACGTGGCAAATAGCCAGGAAAGTAGTTGTTTTCTGTTGAATAAACCGAGAAAGAATTGATCGCCGACACCCGTCGATTTTTGATTTCTACACTGTACATTTTCGTAGGAATAGTTCACTCCTGATTTCATCACTTACTGGAGGGGAGCAACCCTCTCAAAAATTTAAATAGCATGGGATGGTGAGTGATAGCTCATTTGAAAGGGGGTTTTATTCTCTATTCAACCGTGCAAAGAAATTGAAATTTCAAATGAGCTATCACTCACCACCTCATGCTATTTAAATTTTTTGACAGGGTTGCTTCCCTCTAGTAAGGACTGAAAGTAGGAGTGAACTATTCTTACGAAAATGTACACTGTAGAAATTAAAAATCGACGGGTCTCGGCAATTTTTCTAACAAGAGTCCCGTAACGAGTTAGATAGGGGGGGTGGTAACACTTATGATGCGCACTGTATTTATGTATATCCATATTTTTGTGTTCATAAATATATCTGAGAATGTTCCTTCTCAATACTTTCACCCAATCAAGGGGTTCAAACTTGAACGATGGAAACTTGTTATTTTTATAGACCTCAATCGCAGATTGGTGATTAGGTTTTTCTCAATTCAGAATTTCTTTCCACGTCCTGTATGATGAATGTCAATTTATCATACATCCAAAAAACACACTGTACGAATTCTTTTCTCCCAGTCGCCACAGTCCGAGGAGACGGCGGCAACGACTTCGCCCCCGCGACCTCCCGACCCCGCCCCGAACCGGCAGTCACGCCACCGCCGCCTCCCGAAGAGTCGGTCACGCAATGGCAGCCCGTCGAGCCGGAGATACCCGAGAGGCGGCCTGACGTCGAGCAGCCGGAGGTGCCGGTCACGGAGATCGTGCCGCGCGTACGCACGACGGTGGCGCCGCGCGGGCCGGTCGGCAGTCCGCCGCCCACCACGCCCAAGCCGCCGCCCGTCGAGGGGTGCGCGCTGCCCACCGATCCGGTGCAGGAGAGCGTGCAGGTCGTTGGATACAGATTCGGTAAGTAACTAGAACTAGAGTCCCTGTATATACATCAGACAAGAGTCCGGACACAAAACTGACAGCCGTTGGGGTTCTTCTACTTCTTCTTCTTCGAAGCACTTTTTTTTTTTTTATCGGGTGAACCCCCTGCACGTGGGCCTCCTTATTCGGCCCATTGTGCTCCCACATGTTACGACATTCAGTTGGGTATGCCGACTGCCTTGGAGAAGTTCAGCAGCTTCCTCAGCTGAATCTCTTTTACGTCCTCTGGCCTCAAAATTATGTAGCCAAGGACAGCCCTCCTCTGATGCGTCAGTGCTGGACACTCAGTGAGGACATGTGATGACGTTTCGTCATCTTCCAGGCACCATCTGCAAAGGGGGTCATCCTTGATCCCAATAAGCTCTAGGTGCCTATTGAGGTGGTTGTGCCCCGTTAGGAGCCCCACTACCATTTTAAGGTTTCGCCTGTTTAGGAATAAAACCTCTTTTGCGAGCCTCTTCGAAGGTTCCTTTATGTGGAGCTTCGATTGTCTCATTCCTGGTGTGTCCTGCCATATTTTGAGGAATTGCTTTTGCAGCTGTTCCTCTATAGAGGACATTGCCAGGCTATTTGGTATTCCCAAGATTGGTTACGGTCCGACCGAGGTCCGTCCTGAACCGATCTTTGCCAGTCTGTCTGCCTCCTCGTTTCCGGGTATTCCCGAATGTCCCGGGACCCACATGAGGCTGACTTTTCTTGATTTTGCCAGGTTTTCCAAGGCTTTTCTGCACTCGGACACCAATTTGGATGTAATCCTATTGGATTGCAAAGCCAGTATTGCAGCTTTGCTGTCCGAGCATATAGTGATTGGTCTACGACCTCTCATAATTAGGTTTTCTTGGACGCAGGTGAGTATTGCAAGTACTTCTGCCTGGAACACTGAGGCATATTCGCCCAAAGGAACTGAAATTTCTTTCCTTGTTTCTTCATTGTATACCCCTGCACCTGAACCGTTGGGGTTTTCAATATTTTGTTTCATTTGGTTTGCCCACCTGAAAATGTGACGAAACACCATAGTCGTCCCGCCCGCTTTTTTCAATTATTTCGAATTTCTGTGACTGTCACTTTGAAATTTTATGTAAAGTAAAGTAAAGTAAAGTAAAGTTTATTGAACTACGTTACATATTTGAATGTTTGTAGCAAGTCAAAATTGTACAATAGACAGACAAGACGCTGGTTTATCACACACACACTTTAAAATCATTCTACAAGTCATTTAAACAGTATGACAGGACAACAGCACAAATATATAAAATATTGTAAGGATAGTCATAAACTTAATGATAATAGAGAAATAGAGATGATGCGGACCCTTTCAATATGCCTGCAATGATGAAATAAAAGCTAACACTAGCAAGTCACAGTGAAAGTAACAGAATTGAATAATAAAACTACATGAAGAGTTGATATACGACACGTTACATGAAAAGAAAAAGTGTTCTTCACAGATCATCCGCCGCGAAACTGTAATTGAGAAACTCATCTGCTGAATAAAAGCACTTCTTTAGAAGGAATGATTTGATTTTCATTTTAAACTGGAAGTCGTTGACTTGTCTTATTTTAATCGGAAGTTTGTTGTAGAAATCGAAGTTTAAAGAATTCTTTTGAGATACTGCCAGCCTGTATCTAGTAGTTCTCAGTAAGTTACTTGTCCTTGTTGGGTACGGATGAAAATCTGACTGTAAGGGGAGCTTCAGTCTCTTTTTATGTATTTCAATAAGTGTGTGAAAAATATATGCAGTTGGAAGTGGCATGATTTGAAGCCTGATGAAAAGGGGACGGCAGTGATCACTGTATCCGGCACCTGACATAATCCTCACAACTCTTTTCTGGAGAATGAATATTTTGCTTGCATGACAAGAACTGCCCCACAAAATAAGACCATATGTCATATGGCTATGAAAGAGACCAAAATAGCTAGACCTGAGGGTACCAATGCCCACCGATTGTTTCAGTCTACGAATTAAAAATATAGCACTGGATAATCTACTAGCAAGTTTGTTAATGTGGGACAACCAATTGAGTTTATCATCAATATGGATTCCAAGTAATTTCACATAATTTCCATCGGCAATTGTAGGATTTGACGATATAAGAAGACTTTGTGTTTTCTCGGCGTTGAGCATGAGCTTATTCGAGGAAAACCACCTCTCAGCCAATTCCAGGGTGTGGGTAGAAGAGAGGGTTAGCTCATGTAGATTACTATTTTTGTCAATAAGCGTTGTATCATCGGCAAAGAGAATGCAATTTTTAGGGAGGACCTGATAATATAAGTCGTTAATATACAATATGAACAGAGATGGTCCTAAAACTGAACCCTGTGGAACACCATGCGAGATTTCTTTCAAGTCTGATTTAACTCCATTCACCAGAACACACTGAGATCTCCCCCGCAGATACGATTTAAAAAATTCCAATGGAATGCCACGTATTCCATAGTAAGTTAGTTTTTCAACCAATATATCATGGGACACGCAGTCAAATGCTTTAGTGAGATCACAGAGGGTAATATGCGTATATTCCCCTTTCTCTAGGCCATCAACAGCTTTTGAAACAACATCTAAAAGAGCTTGTGTAGTTGAAAAACCTTTTCTGAAACCAAATTGACCGGGGCAAAGTAAACCGTTCACCTCTAGATAAGAAATCAATCTCTGTTTGACCAGTATCTCTATAATCTTAGCAATTATGGGAATGATCGAAATTGGCCTAAAATTGTTCATTACCTGAGGATTCCCCTTTTTTAATAATGGAAGAATTACAGAAATTTTCAAAGCATCTGGAAAAATACCCAGAGAGAAGCAGTTGTTCAATATAAAAGCTAGGGGTTCGGCAATGATATCAGCAATAGGTTTGATGATAGCACTATTTAGTTCGTAAATGTCACGACAGCCAGAATCTTTCAGACTAGAAATGGTACTCTTTACTTCACCTGGTGTAACCGGAAAAAAAGAAAAGGAGTCTACAGGTGTTTGCAGAGTTTTCAAGAAATCAGTAGGGTCATGTTTCGTATCGGGGAGTGTAGCAATCAGATTATTAGCAATGTTAGTAAAAAAATCATTGAAATCGTTTTCATTTATAGATGTTTCAGTTTTATTGTGGGGATTACTGTTACCCTCGAAATTAATCAGTTTCCAGGCATCTCTGTTGATATTTTGTGAGTTATTCAGGTAGTCTTCATATGCACGTCTCTTAACCACTATCAAGGAACTTCGGTAATCTTTACGCAACATTTTGAATGCATTGTGAATGATAGGATCTTTGTTAACATTGTAAATAGCCTTAACGTCGGAGAGGAAATTTCTTTTATTACGTAAGTCATCAGTAAACCAGGAGACTGGTGATTGAATTTTATGAGTACATTTACTTTTCCTTATAGGAAAAATTCGAGTAACATGGTAACGCAAAAGATTCACGAAGTGTTCTGTCATAAGATTTGGAGAAAATACCTCATTGAGAAAATCCCCCCAGTTATAGGTAACCAAGATTTCTCTCAGTTTTTCTAAACCAGAATGGGTAATATTTCTGTGAAAGTTGTTCGATTCTACACGTTTCAATGATGAATCTAGATCAATAAATTGACCGAGATGATCGGATAGGCTTGGATCTAAAACACCTGAAACATATTGTTCAGTATCAAAATTGGTCATTATGTTGTCTATACATGTGGCGCTGTCCTTACTTATTCTCGTTGGGACTGTGATTGTAATGTCCAAATTAAAAGATGCTAGCAGGTTAGACAGAGCTATACAGTTTGACGAGGCAGATGAAAAATTTATATTGAAATCTCCTGTAAGTATGATTTTTTTGGTAGTACACAGAATATTTTCCAGAAAAGAGTCGAGAGATTGCAAAAAGTAGTCAAAATTACCAGCGCAAGATCTATATAATGTAACAAAAAGTGTACCTGAAATTTCAATTCCACAAATTTCGATGTCAAATTCTGAAGATACACTGAGACATAAATCAACTGCAGAAAAAGAATTTTTCACAAAAATGGCTACACCGCCATGTGCATTTGTTTGCCTACAGAAATAACTGGCTAGATAGTATCCTGGTAAGTTAATTGAATTGAGATTATCCTCACGCATCCAATGTTCGGACAAGCAATAAATATCAAAATCATTCGTTTCCATAAATAAAATCAATTCGTCAACTTTGTTTGATAGACACTGGATATTAATGTGAAAAACACTTAGTTTTTTGGATTCGAAATTCTCAGAACTGTTTCTATTCTTAATATGTTTCGGTAAGGACCGACGAATGGAATTGTTTGTAGTGGCTACGTCAATCACGTGGTGGGGGGGTTTACCGTTGCCCTCAGGTTTAAATAACGCTGCACATAAGCTCCTCTGGGCCATATTGCAGGATCCATAGACTCTGCAAAGTGGGAGTCATGAATTGTTACCTTGAATGAAGCATACAAATCTGGGTATTTGGAATTCAGTTTTTGTTTTTGTTTATGTCCCAATGATGCTCTTCAAATTTCGTTACGATATACCAGGTGGTTCAAAAATTAGTAAGGGGGGAACGGACTTTAGACGGGCACTGTATATGCTGCCGGTTATTCGAACCTGGCCGATGGCCATCAGATAATTTTTCAATGAGAAATTGGTTCGTGGTAGCATTTCAGCTCCCTACATGTGGTTCTAAATCCACTATAAACTGTAAGTCCTCTTTCACTTTAATTTTCACAAGCCATTAAGCCTTATGACTGTTGGTTCGGCAGCCAAAGTGATAGGGTACAATATACAATACAATAAAATACAATGAAATACACTCCTTGTTATGAATACTGCTGTACGTATAGGAACCTTGTCACCATCGGAGGAATCCTAGATGGTATAGGTACCTAGATACTGATCTTAAGAATCTTGCAATCATGATTTCCATTATATCTACTATATAGTATAATGTACCATGAGTTTACATCAATTATCTTTCTTATATCTAATGAAGTGAAGAAATATCTGATGACGAAAATTGGCAATAGCCATCTCAGGAATTGATTATGAAAATTATCGATTCGAAATTTGAACACCGTGTTCATTATTTGAAAATCTAATAGTTATTCTAGTTGAAATATCCCGATTTCCCACTTCTACCTACGGCTATGAACGGTTTGACAAATAATCTAACCCTCAAAATTGTTTCTGACTAGGGGAATTTGAAAGACAGAGCTCGATATATATGTCTTATTCCTTTAATCATCAATTCATTTTTTGAAAACAGAAAAGGACAGAAGTATAGCTGTGTCCGGACTCTTGTCTAAGGGACTCTATTAACTAGAACTAGAGCCACTGTATGGTATTAGTTGAGAGTGGACACAGCTGAACTTTTGTCCTTCTCTATTTTCTATAATACAATGGTTTGAGTGAATAAAAGAATAAGACATATATTCTGCTCTTTGTCTTTTCAATTTCCCTAGTAGCGCATGATTGTCAGATACGATTTTATAGGTTACATTTTCTGTTAAATCAATCATAGCCGTAGATGGACAATGGAAATAGGGTATAAACACCCACTTCAATTTATAGTAGAGCAATTGTTATGTAAATGAAAAGAACGCATGTCACAACATTTTAATATTAGAAAATATACTTACACATATGGATAAACTCATAGCTATAATTCCCTATTGTATGTGGAACTGTACTCCAGTATTTATAAAACATGAAGATATTAATATCAAATTAAAGGCAAGTATTCTCAATATAAAGGGAGTAACATAAGTACGTTCAAGTGTCGTATTCCTGAGACAATTTTGAGAAATAAAGTATATGAACTTGTGTCCGAAAATGCTTTATTTTGGAGATACAGGGTGTTGAAATACAGAGAACAAATCATTTTTCGATAAACAGTTCATAGTCAAAGTCGTTACTCACTTGTTTATCACCGTGAGCTTTATATATATTATTTAAAAATTCACAAAGTGCAGTGTCAGTGTTTCTATTTTTCGTGAAACCATGTTGGCATAGAGACAAGTTACCATTGGATGTTACTTATATTCTTGTTAACGACAGCTTCAAAAATTTTGCTTATGCTTGAGCATAAAGTAATAGCCCTATAATGGGCGTGTACACCTTAGTAGAACTTTTTACCATGTTTAAAATGATCCTTTTATACATGAATAATGATTGACGACATAATTCGATCGAGAAATTGGAATGTTTTATTTTTGGACATAAATAATAGTACCTTCTGAAAACGGACCCTCTCATGACGTAGAAACCTCATCTCGCCATAGTTGAAAGAAAATACCAAATGCTCGATGGAGACTGGGGCAACTGATATAATAATTCTTTCAACTGTGATCTCGCGCTAATTCACTCTGGCAGAAATCATGTATCATTCATCTCTGCCTGGAATAGTCTTGTTTCAGTATTAGGGTTTTGACGTCATATCATCGTCTCGTTTTCAGAGATCCGAAAAATCGGGGATTTCAATAATTTTTTATAAAACGTAGGGAGCTCACAGCAAGAAACGGTTTGCTGTGGTGAGCTAGTTTGGGTGAGTTCTATCGAATTATGAAATAGAATTTTTTTGTGATATAAGCCCATTATCCATAGTATTTGAATCACCTTTTTTGTGAAGAGGAATGACATTGGATATCTTCAACCTAGAAGGAAATACACCTTGTTGGAGAGATAAATTGATGTATATAGAGTCACTGGATGGTATTAGTTAGGGTCCCTTGATACAAACTGACGTATTTGTCATCTAACAGGGTACGGACAGATCATAGCTCCTTTCTCTTTTAATCATCTAGTGACTGGTTTTGTGTATTGGCGTCCCTGACATGACATTGCTGTCACGTCACAAAATTTTAATTTCATACTTGATTTTACGATATTATTCAATTCTGTTTTGGAAGGATGGTAAAATGTGCTGCGTTAGGCTGTATCGATCAGTTGGATGGCAAATTTGAATTTGTCAGCTTTCCATCAAATGCAAATGAACTTAGAACGTGGAAAGTGAAGTGACCGAATGGAGAAAATTGGTTGACTTGAAAGCAAGAAAGTTTTCGCAATTAATATGGATTTCCATCTAGTAACAGAGAAATCAATTCGAAAGTTTGATTGTTACAATTGGAGATGGATCGGATCATCTTGATTATTATATCGGTATTCTGATTGTTCTAAATTTGGTTTTAGGTACGGCAGATCAACAAAGCCGACTGGAATTCAGCACTCCAAGAGGAAAATACAAGAAGAGTTTCGATTTCAGATTTGAATTCAGAACGAGAGAGACAGAAGGTATCCTTTTCTATGTTTCTGATAGCACAAGAGTACCTTCGCAAGAACACAAGCATTATGCTGCTGTATATTTAATGGGTGGACATGTAAGTATAGTCACAAAATCACTCTGATTCAAAATGGTGGTATTGTATCTTGATTTTGAATTTGTTGCTTAGCTCATAATGTTGATTTTTCATGAAATAAATTGATGTATCATCATAAATTCATCATGATCATTATGAACCGTTGTTCATTCGATTTTGACGTTTTGTTTTTATAGTTAATTGAGTCTTCTCTAACAACTTTACTATATGCCACTCCGAATTCAATTTTATTCTTATACTCAGCTGGTATACTGAGACAAGAATCCAACTATTACCTCATCTGATTTTTCATATTTGCTTGAGATAGTACAACCAGCAATAATGCTAAAAAAAATGATTTCTTCCCCTCACAGTATATGGCCCTTCATAATTTATGATCTCTATAACTTCATTATCATCATCACTCAAAAAAATCGAAAGCTTCCATGATATATAAAAATGTATACTAATGAGTCATCAAAAGTGAACTCAGAAAATGATTAATAGTTTAACTAGAGGTGGTTATGTTGTGATAGTGACAAACTGGCCTTCGAGATAAAGATGCCAGTATCAGACCGTGAGTCGCGTAGACACATATACTTCTCTAATTATCTTTGAATCGAATCATATTATCAATATTTTCTAGGACGCAAACACTAATACAAAATGATTCATTATCTCAACTAAAATGACTGCAGTTGATAATGGAGCATTATTGAACAACAGTGGTGGTGCTGAGCAAGTACTGAAATTCTCTATATTGATATTTATGCCAATTGTTTCTTGTTTCATTTTACTCAAGTTATGACTCGTTGCATTGAAGTACTATATTTTGTACTGTGTTTGCATGTCCCAAGAATTTGTTGGGTTCTCAAATGTTGTTTCTCTAGGAATTACAGCTTATTGTGTTGAAAAATACATCGATACATATTATTTTTAACAGCTACATCTCAGTTTTATGTTCATTTGGATCGACCTCATGAGCGTTTCTTGACCCATTCGAGCAGAAATTATTAAACTAATGGCATCAAGGAAATTCAGGATCAAAAAAGTTGCCCTAATTGTTAGCAAGAGCGAATCCGTACTGTTTCGGCCACCAGGTCTCATCAGCTGCTTTCGGTCTGCTGACAATCAGGACAACTCAATGATTTGGGTATATTGCCAATATCGAATAAATCAGATAATTGGCGGATTTCAAGTTCACCAAATGAAGTTGCGATTAAATTCGGCAACAGGGAACACATGCCAACTTTCAATCTAAGCTAGGAGTTGAAAATGTTTTCCCTATTGCTAAACGTCATCGCAACGTCAGATGATGATGTAATTAATAATCGGAAGCTGATATTTATTTGTAGCATTTCCTGTTATTGGGTGTGAAACCTGTTGGAAATAAAAGCCCTTTTTTTATGACCTTGAAATCCGCCAATACAAGATGATCTAGTTATTTTATCGCCATGTAGTGGCTGGTTGAAGGATGATTCAACAGAATCGCACAATCGCACTCTACACCCCGTTCGTCAACACATCACAGAGCATTATTACAGGTGGAAATTTTATGTTTCAGGTTATATTCTCATTCAAAGGAGAAGCTGATGCTCTTGTCATAAAATCCGCAAATGTCTACAATGACGACAAATGGCATTTGGTCGAATTCAACCGTGAACAGTCCAATGGTAAATTGGTAATTGACGAACAAGATATACAAACTGGAACCACAGAGGGAAAAACTCCTATTTTGGATTTGCATGTTCCGTTCTATATTGGTGGACTGAATCCAGATCACTACAACTCTGTTCAAGTGAACTTGGTGAGTGCGCATTCTTTGATGGAAATTCAGTTCATATTCAATGATAATGATAGTAATTAATTGAACAAGGGGAAAAAGTATTACATTTTAGCTCGAGGTTGTGTTGTTTTTCACCAGTTCGAAAGGAGTAACAATTTTTTTATCACTAGAGAAATCTAACTAAAACGTCAGATTTTGACGTGTGAAAAAATAATCATTAACTTTGAGACTCATAAATGTAACCTAAAATGTATTTCTTCTACGGCTATAACACAAAATTGCTCTTGGTTTACTGTGTTCGATAAATCAATGAGGTACTTTTTATGTCATCAATTTTATTTCCATATCTGATATCACAATGACTTCACTGTGCTATTATTTGGCAAAATCTCATCTCCCATGAAATGTCTAATTTCAAGCAATGAGAGCTCTCACTTATAGATGAGCATTACTTAAGAGAAAATCAGAAGGCTACAAGTCGAAGAAATGAAAAAAATCGCTATTACCTGTTACAGCCATAGAAAACGTAGAGTGTTAAACTCATTTTAACAATATACTATTTTGCTAGTTTCCTATTTCAAACAAATATTATGTGGATATTATTTCTTAGGAATGAGGATGATTATCATTAGATATATCTAGAATTATCGAACCAAATTTTGCTGCCCTAACACTTGGTGAATTTTTTCAGAAGAAAATCGCGGTTGAAATCGAATCATAAATTCTTCAGAACCTTTTTATGTTAGTTTCTTTTAACGGAAATGACTACATGTAAAAAAGTGAAGGAGCATTTTGCTCCTTTGGAGAACAAAAATAGCCCTAAAAAGAATTATTATTTTACAGAATCAGGCATTCAAAAATTGTTAATGAAATAATCATTTTTGGATTCAAATACTCTTTGATATTGCAAGATATCATCGAAACGTCGAATCAACTCTCATAACTTATTCGTTAGGATATGCGTTGGCAGTCTTCAACAGGGATTTTCTATTTGCAAAATTCCTTGTAATTGATGGTGTTCAATACACCTACTGGATTAAAAAATGCAGATTATTTCATTTGAATTTCTGAAATTGATGTGATTTTGCAAACATTTCATGTGTTAGCTTGACATGGTATAAAAGAATCTAGAGAACCTAGTTTGATTTTAATAGGTATAAGCCATAAAGAAACCACACTCAGTATTTCAGTAGTCTCAGTCAAGAAATACACATATTTTATTGATCTTTTCAGAATACAACAACTTCATTCTCGGGTTGTATAAAGGGGATATCTATGAACAACAAGCCACTAGAACAGCCAGCAGATTATGGTGTGATTCCATGCTCTGATAACGTAGAAGTAGGCACTTTCTTTGCAGGAGATGCATCGACTTATATGAGAATCAAAGATAAATACATGGTAAGATCTATATTTTATAATATTATGTAATGGCTGCTGCTCAAAGACTATTCATAAATCTATTGCTGTAAAATATTGCATTATTCGAAATATAAAACATTATGATCTTGCAGATTGGAGAGATGTTCAACATCAAGATGGACATCAAGCCGCGATCCGAATCGGGTGTGTTGGTAGCCGCTCACGGCAGAAGAGACTACTACGTCTTGGAATTGGTGAACGGCACGCTCAAGTTGGTGGTGGAGAACGGCAAGGGGCCGGTGGCGGTAGCTTACACCCCGCCTCAAAAGACGTACCATCTGTGTGACGGCAATTGGCACAATATCCAAGGTATGTTGGAATATGAGAATTGATGAAAAATACTGTCGTGTTGGGTCTATGAAGAGAGATTTCCATTGGTAATTCAATTTGCCTCAATTTTTTATCCCCCAGGGCGGGATTAACCACAGGGTAAGAGGCAAATTCAGAATGGGGGGCGAAAATCTTGCCAATAAGTATCTTATAAGCGAAAGACAAGAATTTTCTCAGTGATCAAGGATTTTATTCATTTGACGATTTAATTAATTATGAGAAAAATATATATATATATATTTTTTATTCATACACCATCCAACAGCCGGAGCCAATTACAGGATGGGAAAGATAAACAATTGATTACAAATTACAATTCAGATACAAACTAGATTAATACTAACAATACATAAGTTTCATACTAAGGTGAATGGAGATGGGCATATCTGCATATATTATGAGCTGAAAAAAAACCTACGAAAAGAGAAAAAAAAAGCTCACATGCAGATATGCACACTACCAAATAATACTACAACAATGCTCTTTTCAAACTAGCAATATTAGAACAGAGGATATCGAATGAATCTTGAGAAGACATATAATCTGAACATATTCTATAAATAGGTGAAAACTGCAGTAGATTAGATTGAGGTGTGCGCAAGTAAAAGATATATTTATTTCTCACTGGCAATCGAGGAACATGTACATCAATGAGAGACAGTAAATGGGGACAATCAAGTTTGTTATTAAGCAATTTATATAGAAATAAGACTCCACTATAAGTACGGCGAGTAGCCAATAGTGCAGTTTCAAATCTACCTGTTAATGTCAATTGGGGCAATCCTCTATCTGGATATACCCCATCTACTCTAAACCAGAGGTGTTTGATGAATTTTCGCTGAATGTTTTCAATATTATTAGAATGAACATCATATCCAGGACTCCAGGACCTAACCTCACAAATGCATTGAAAATTAACTTCAGTGACTCAGTTTGCTGCATGAACTTTGAGTTTCTTAAAATAAATCCCAGTGTTTTGTAAGCTTTTGCAAATATCAAAAATTAACAAGATTGATGCATCTATATTTGTTTGTATATTTCAATGTCACATATTATTGTTTCCTACAGCATATGTTTGTTATTATATTACCACTCCATGTGAATGTATGATCCATGGTTTTTCATGGTTTTGTTGTTGACTATTCATATAGCAATGTAAAATGGTCTATTTCTATTTGATGAATGAATATTCTATTCTATAATAATTAATAAATATCATGAAGTTAGTGACTGAATTCTGAGTTCGATTAGAAATACAGGTTTCGATCAATATCAGCTAGTTATCTGGGCCAAGCGACATTTCCCTCTTGAACATCGAACATGATTTGCTGATAAGTCTTGAACGATGCATTATTGAGACATTTATGGTGCTCTAGGTCAGAAAGGGAGCTTTCCATCCGTTATATATATTTTATTTGTGCCATTTTTGAGTATATGTTTGATAATACGAGTATCATTTCAATATACTTGAGGTGAGGACAAATCAGATGATTCCCCTGAAAATGTTATTGCGTTTAGACATGTTCCTATCTGAAAGCACAAAAGAAAAAATTTATCGATTGTCAGGGACACCTTGTTTTGAAAATTGTTCGAAGATATATGTCTAATTTTTACATATCTTTGGACGTTTCGGAAACGAATCTGTTCCCGTTTTCAACATAAAAAAAGGAAAATATTCTTCTCGAAATTGATGAAAATGGTGAATTCAAGATAAATCAATAACAACATCATGCAGCTCATTTGTTTGCATCATCATCTGTCACTGACAAGTGTCAATCACGAAGTGAGAAGAATTATATTTTTCATTGTTATATTTTTATAATGGGGGCCAAAAAAACAAATTGTGTCCCGGGCGTCAGCCTTAATCTGGCCCTGTGGCGCCTACTGTGTACTGTTGTGCCACTGAAATAACAATCTATACCGTTATACAGGTTGTATCTAAAACACCGAAAAAATGTAAGTGGAGATTCCTTGTGATATTTTAGGAAATAAAGTTCATAAAAACATGTGTCCTAACTTGCTTCGTTTTCGAAATACAAGGTATTGATTTTTCCATGAAAAATCGTTTTTTTTATTTATTACTCAATTGTCTTTTCATCAATTTCAATAAAACATTGTGGTTTTGTTGATAGTAATATGGAGATTTTACTTGATTCTTTGGGATTTTCTCTCCTCGTTTCTATAAAATAAAAATATTCGTATTATTTCAATATATTTGTAGTGGGACAAATCAGATGATTTGCCCCAAAATGTCACTGCGTTTAACAAATTTTTTAATCAGGAAGTCGAAGAAAAATCCAGTAGCTTGTCAGTGACAATTTGTTTGAAAAAATGTTTGAAGGAAAGAAATATTGAGAAAATATCGAATTTTTACTTATCTTTGGACGTTTCGGGACCGAATCTGCTCCCGTTCTCAACATATACAGACAGTATTTAGTAATCTGGAGCTTCTTCTGGTATGATTAGATTCGAATTCATATTTTCATTGGCGTCACAGTGGGTAAATTTATCGATATTTATGGTGAATGTCATTGTACGCCACCGGTTTTTTTAGTTTCATGTTTTTGTTAGATTGAACTATTGAAATAGGAACTTTTTTATCCCCTGTATGATTTTTGTATCAAGCTCATTTTTTGAGGAATCAATAAAAATTCGATTTGACTCCAAATTTTAATGTAGGTGTTCTCAAGACTTCCATTGAGATTACTTAATAACCCCTAAAATCATTTTGAAATTTTTCAGTCTCCAACCATACTGAATTTTGGCACCATGAACGCTTATACAGGGGGTTATAAATAAAAGCCATCAATACTACCATCTTCAACATCCTATATCTCAAAAACGGAGCAAGTTAGGACACATATGAACTCTATTTGCTAGAATATTTGCTAGAATATCACAAGGAAACACCCCTTGAATTTTTTCGGTGCTATTCAGATGTCATATTCCAGCAATCCGAAAATCTCATCCTCATCCGCGCCTGAAAACACTTCTGCTCAATGTGCAGGAATTCCCAAACTGTCGTTCACGACATCGAGTAACTAATTCCTCTTGATGTTCACGAAGAAAACATGAGTAAGAGCGAGTAAGATATATGAAAAATCCTGGATGCGCACGCTCCATCGGACGAAATTTGATTCCGTGAATAAATGAGCTCTGACCGTTTGACATTAGCGGTCTGGTTAGTAATTTATGTCGGTGTCATGGTGTGTTGTCCATCGAGTTTGATATCTCTAATTCGAAACGAATTCTTTTCTTCTTCAGCTGTCAAGTCGAAGAACGTCGTCACTCTGTCGGTCGACAACCTCTTCACCGACCCGAAGATCGGGCCGAGCCACTCGACCTCGACCGATACGGGCAGCGCCCTCTTCTTGGGCGGCCATCGGTACATCAAGAGGGTGCGCGCCATCCATTCGAGGGTGGCGTTTGTCGGGTGTATCAAGAACGTCGAGATCAACAACGAGCCCGTAGAGTTATTGTCCAGCATGATCAACGGGAACGTCACCATCGGGTTCTGTCCCACCAATTAGTTGTAGGTTTGTGTGTTTTTCATTGTATTGCGTTTATTCGATGATTATTATAAAATTTGAATAGTATAGCGAATATTTTATTTGATGGCTTCCCCCTTCATGGGCGGCTATCGGTACTTCAAGAGGGTGCAAGATCAACAACGAGCCGGTTGAAATCAACGGGAATATCACCATCGAGTTATGTAGGTTTGTGTGTGTTTCATTGTAATGCGTTCATTTGATGGTTATTATAGAATTTGACTACTATTGTAAACATTTTATTTGATGAATATGTCTGTTTCGTCATTATGGACAGCCTAAAAATGTTACCCTGGACACGTATTCATCGAGTATTCAAAATAATCATATTTTTTCGATATTATATCGGGTCGATTCTGTTTGAAAATAGCAATATGGTTGTAGAGAAGACATTACTATCACACCTATATTCGAAAAAGTGGAATATGGGGAATATGATCTGTTAATTTATATGAAATCTTCTTAATATCAATTTGGTGCTTGCTATCTCATAACAATGTTATAAATGGCAGTGAATCCGTTATTTTTCCACCACAATTTTTTCCTAGTTCACTTGTGTAACTCACTACTAGAAAACCTTTCATTGAAGTTTCAATTCGTAGAGAAATCATGAGACTACTATTTGAGTTGCCTGTTAGAAAGTTCATTAAAGCTATATCGCTTGAATAAGCCAGCAATGTGATTTTTCCGGTTATAATAATTGGGTTCTTTTCCATCTTGCTTTTGGTTTATTTCTCATACCGGGACACATGACTAATTACTTGTATGACTATGAACAAATTCACCAAATGAAAACAATCTGTCAATATCGATAATATAAATTTAAAAAATGTCAGCTCCTATTACTTAACGAACGAGTGAGGTCAAAATAGTGCTGTCAGCTCAAAAGTTTTGCAATTTTTCAACCATATTGCTATGCTTCGAACTTACAACAAGTACATAAAATACAGAATGGTATAGTCGTTATATATGTTATGAAATAGCATAATTCGGCAGTGTTATCACAAGATTCGAGAATTCAAACATCGATATCAACAACAAACCGGTCGAGTTGATGTCCAGCATGATGAAGGAGAATGTCGCCATCGGGTTTAAGTTGTTTGTGTGTGTTTTATTCGGGTCGATTCTGTTTGCAAATTTCAATATGGTTGTAGAGAAGATATTGCTATCATAGCAAGATTCTAAAAAGTGGAATTCTAGTCATCGATTTTTGGCAATATGATCTGTCAATTCCAATGACATCTGGTCAGCTTTCTCGCTATCTCGGCAACATCAATTTTGTGCTTGCTATCTTATAACAAGGTAGTGGATTCTTTTTTTGCACTACAAGTTCTTCCAACTGTATGAACATTCAGAAAATAGTGGATTAAAAACATATGAGAGTTCAGACTACTCGAAAACTTTTCCACTTCTCCTCAAAGTTTCAATTCGTAAAAGACTTATTGAAAAATTTAGAATTGTGATTACCAACAAATAGGATAGGTTCAATACTGTGACCAACGACTTGAAAACCTTTTCTTGAAGTTCCAATTTGTAGACGAAATATGAGACTACAATTTCGGCATATTAAGAACCAGAAAAACCATTTCAGTTGCCTGATGGATACTTCATCAAACTATTTTGCTAGAATATTAAAAAAAAATCATGATTATTTTCATGCGGCTATTAGTTGTTTCTCATTTCGGGGACATGATTGAGTACTTGCACCAGTCGCACAACGACTACCAGATTCAGCAAATACAAAATCTCTCGATTTGAACAATATAATTTTGTAAAATATCAGTGCAGGACTGACTAATTTGAGAGGTTAGATAATCATGAACTCTTCTTCTTCGTGAAATAATGGCAAAATCGATACCTAACACTCAAGCAATGAGTTGAAAACAGTGTTGTCAGCTCAAAAATTCGCAATTTTTCAACAATATTGCTATCACTTGAACTCATAACCAGTCTTGCAGTTACTCTGCAAACAGAATACAGAACTTCATAGCAATATTGTTATATGTTAGGATCATAACAATATTATTATCTTAGCAATGTTATAACAAGATCCGAACAGAATCGACCCGAATGTATTGTGCTCATTTGATGATGATCATAGAATTTGACTAGTATAGTAAATATTTTATTTGATGACCGTCCTCTGCTTGGGTGGCCATCGGTACTTCAAGAGGGTGCATCAAGAACGTCGAGATCAACAACGAGCTCGTAGAGTTATTGCCGAGCATGATCAACGGGAATGTCACCATCGGGTTCTGTCCCACCAATTAGGTTTAGGTTTGGGTGTGTTTTAATTGTATTGTGTTTATTTCTCATACTCATACTCATAATTTATTGGTGCTAATACACGAAAAGCGTTTACACAAGTCAAGATTACAAATTAAAAATTTCATATAAGAAAATACTTATAGATATTCAGAAACAACAGTTGAATATAAAATACAAATTAAAACCTGGTACATCAAGTGACAATACAATACAAGTTAAAATATTAAGTTAAAAATCAGTTTTGAGGATTTAGCAACATAAAAACAATTAGTTCCAAGTAAAATTGAGAAATTCTTCTTTGTCGTAGAAGGGATTCCTAAGCAATACTTCGTGTACCGTTCCCCTAAACATTTTATCAGGAAGTGCTCTCACACTTTCTGGTAATTTATTGAAAAATTTCACAGCCCAATAATTTGTTCCACTCCGACACCTTTCCAGCCTCCACAAAGGTACCGAGAGCTGCTCCCTGCCTCGAGTGCCGTGCTGATGCATTTCGCCAGCCTCCGAGTACCGGTCTAAGTTGCATTTGATGTATAGAAGGTTTTCAAATATGTACATATTTGGAAATGTTAATATTTTATTATCAATGAAAGCATCTCTGCAATCATCCTGATACCCAAGGCAGCTCAAAATCCGCACGGCTCTGCGCTGCAAGGAGAACACTCTGCGCCACTGTGGGGCATGGCCCCAAGCAACAATGGCATAGGACACCAGTGAGTGAAATAACGCAAAGTATGCAGTTCGCAACACCCCATCTGAAACTATGCCTGATAAATTTCGCAACACAAAAATGCCACTTTTTAAACGCTTTGAAAGAGACTCTATATGGGTGTCCCACCGAAGACCAGTGTCAAGATGCACCCCCAAGAATTTTGTTGCCTCACGGGAGAGTGTGCAGTCCGTAGGTACTTCTCTCAAGGAGAATATCATACGGCTCGTCTTCGAGTTGTTCAGTATAAGACTATTGTTCCGAAACCAGTTTTCAGCCCTCGACTGCGCCCCACAGACCTCATCCATTAAACTTGCCAAGTCAGAATCCCTAACGGAAATTGTGGTGTCATCAGCGAACATGACATATCGTTCTGTATTGCCTATACAAGGTAAGTTGTTAATGTAAATTAAGAAAAGAAGTGGTCCCAGTATGGACCCCTGGGGAACTCCTATATCGACTACTCCTGTCCCTGACGACACCCCATCAACCACTACTCTTTGGACTCTATTTTTCAAATATGAATTTATGAGTTCAATGCTATTTACATTGAACCCATAGTACTTCAGCTTTCTGATGAGCAGTTCATGTGACATACAGTCAAATGCCTTACTAAGATCACAGAAAACAGTGCCAGTATGCTCTCTGTTTTCAAAACCATCCATTATGAAGGCAACCAAGTTTAATATGCCGAGCACGGTACTGCGACCGCCGCGGAACCCAAACTGTTGTTCGCTAAGCATTAAATTTCTCTCCAGATACTCAGTCATCTGCACAGCCATACATTTTTCTATTATTTTTGAAAATATTTGAAGTAAGGAAATTGGCCTGTAATTTGAAACTTCCTCCCTATCACCCTTTTTGAATATCGGAATGACAATGGCCTCTTTAAGGCAATCTGTAAAACAATTTTCTTTTAGACATATGTTGATTATTTTTGTCAAGGAGATAACAATTTGCTCACACACAACTTTAACAATTCCAACATTAAAACCAAATACATCTCTAGAATTTTTATTTTTTAGAGATCTAATTATATATCTCTAACCTGAATGATGCTCAAGAGAAAGTTGCATTTAGGTCCCAGTGAGACTGAAATGGGACATATCCTCCGTTGAGTGTTTTACATCATGAAGTAAAATATTAGCAGTATTGGAAAAGTAGTGATTGAACTGATCTGGACTTACACTTGTTGCCAAATCATCTACGCATTTTTTTTAAGTGGTTCTGTTGTCATTTATAATGTTCCAATTTGATGATTGTTAAAGATTTTGACTAGTATAGTGAACATTTTAGTTGATGAATAGGTCAGTTTCGTGAGTAATATACAGGGTGTTTCAGAGTTGTGGTGACAGAAGCCTGGGGTAGATTCCTCTCAATAAAATTAGAACTAGAGTTCATATGAACATGTAGTAGGAGAGCCGACTGCAAATTTCGAGCGTCATCTGATAACGAAATGTTACATGTTCCAATGGTCACATTTGCGAATACCCAAAAGTACTGCGATTCAAACTCAACTTAGGTAGTGGCAGAGCGTCAGTATTTCTGAGAATATTTCGTCCCTGTCTAGAGATAATATCCGATGAACCAATGTGAAACTCATGTGGTGCTCGCAATACAAGTATTCGAATCCACATGTAAAGTTTTACACTGGTCCATCGGCTATTATTTTTCCAGAGGGGCGAAATATTCTCGGAAATAATGACGCTCTGTCACTAACTTAGCTCAGTTTGAATCAAGGCACGTTTGAATATTCGCAAATCATTATTCCCATTTATTTGCTTTGTTTCAACTCGTTATCACATGACGGAAATATATCCGGAATAAAGGCAGCAAATAAATGGCTGTGCCGTGGATTTGACTCTGATTAAGGGGTGGCAGAGGTAGGTATTTGAGACCTACTATTCAATTGGTATCGCATAATTCTCATCTCGTTATCAAATTGCGAAATTAAGTGCAAATTACCGCACAGGAAAGTGCAAATTACCGCACAGGAAAGTGCAAT